AATGGTGCAATTATTGATTATGGACAAGCCACATATGCGAATATAAATTCAAATGAATGTGACTGAAATCTTTAATTTCACTTAATAAATATATGTATTTCCAATTCATAACTCATTATATATATAATTATACTATAATACCATTTCACTATGACTAATATGTAATTTTTTAATTTCAATTAAAAATCCATTTAAACTTTCTTCATTAACTTGACATTTAAAATTTAATAAATATAATAAACCAATTTCTAAATTTAATAAATCTTTATTATTAACACCACCAATTTTAGCAATAAAAGTTTGTCTATGATTTATATCTTCAATAGTTTTACAACTTATTCTTAAAGCTGCAATTAAAACTCTATGAACATTTCTATCATTTAATTTTAAAGCTTCTGCAATGATAACAATTTTATAAAGATATAAACATGATGTTAGATATACCGCTGTAGAGAGACCACAATAATGATTTATTCTTTCAAGATATTGTGTAATAGAAATTGGTGGATTTGATTTTAATGTAAATCTTTTAGCTAATATCTTATTTTGTATTAATTTATTTGTATTAGGAGATTTTTGAGGTTCATTAACTTCAACTGGTGTATTTTCCAGATATGTATTATCATTATTATTGTTATCATTACCATTATTATCACCACTATTATGATTTGATGATTTTCTTGGTGATAATAAGCAATCTGTATCATCTTCTGGACCTAATGGAGGACTGGGGAGTTCATTAGACACAAGACTAGTATTTGAATCATCATTTACCTCTTTAGAACACCGTATGATTAAGATCTTTATCAAATAGTTCAATATCGTCACAGCAGTTAATGAATCAATCTCATTCAAATTAGCAACCTCTTGAGAAAAGAACTGCGTAAGATCCACATCACCCAACTTGGCTTTCACAGATGGCAGTTGATTATCCAGCGAGTGATCTATTAATTCACCATCTGGGAACGTTTCGATCTTTCTGATGGGTATTCCTGAGACATCGATTTCAGTCATCTTTGAAGTATTTGAACCAAATGTTAACAGCGCGCTTGAATGCGATGAGCTTAAATGAAATGAATGGGGGTGGTTTTGAGAGCTTTAAAAGAGCCTAGAATGAGCTTGAAGACAGTAGTAATCACTTTATCAGCAGCAGAAGAATCAGACAAATGAAAATTAGTTTTTAACGATTTGAATCTGGTTAGAAATGAATTGTTTTTGTAGGAAACTTGGAATGTTTATTCCATTGTTTACTTTTCAGAATCTTTTTTTACTTGGGGTTCGCGATAATTTTTGCTATAATAAAGAAATTAATACTCAATAAATTTATGATATTTTTAATAAAGATAATGATATTCTACAATTCAATTCACATTAAAAGATTCATTAAAAACTAATCTATAAACCTCCTAAATATAGCTCTTTAGTTAATACGCTTAGTATAATCTGTGAGATGGACCCATAGATGATTTGATAACTAAAGAACCAACGTTTTGCCAGTTCTTTTTCAATAAAGAAACTAAGAAATTGGTGGCCATTAAGATTTGGTTGACTAAAGTGGATTCATCCATTTCAACGTTACCAACGGCAACAGCTAAACATAGAACTTTTTTCAATTGGAATTTAATGGTTGATTTAACTTCTTGAACTTTACCGTATAAATCATCGTTATGGGAAACTGGGGTTGGGAATTTACCAGCTTTTGATAATTGAGGACCTAATAATCTTGGAACTTGTTTAATTAAAACATCTGAAGCAACGAAAGCATTGTATTTTTTAGCTAATTTTTTAATTAATTTTTTGTTCTTGTTTAATTTTTTTAAATCATCAACAGACATAGCATCAACACCTAATGATTTAGCACGATCAACATCGAAAGCATCACCAAAGATACAGATGGACATGTTTGGTCTTGGAACTTGAGGTAATTTTAAAGAACCAGAGAAACGCTTATCTCTTTGAGGATCATAGTTTTTTAAACCAACTTGTAATTCAACGGTTTCCAAAAAGTTTCTCTTTTTGGTTTCGTTAGAATAAGCTAAGATATCCTTAACGTGTTCACGAACTTGAGAGTTAGAGATTTTTGACATCTTTAATTATCTGTCTTCCAATAACTTGGTGGTCCTGAATAAAGGTTTTGCGACGGATAAGTCTTTTTTAATATAAGAGTTGAAAGTAGAATTGAATCTTCACCAAATTTTTCACATTCAATAGAAAAAAAAAAAAAAGTGAGAATTCGCGGAATTTTTAAAAGAGATGACATCTGAACACCAAGAAGAATGGCTGAATTGAACAAGAAATATAGGTGATTTGTAGTGAACAGACATATGATCAGTTTTTGAATGTGATTGATATGTTCATAGATATAGTTTAAACATATTTATCATTTTTGTTTCATTAAAGTATCACCATTATATCTCTTTTTATTGTGATTTAAACAATTTTCTTAATGTGACTTATAGAAGTAGTAGCCCTAAGTCTAATCACCTGACATAGACACTCGCAAAAGCTTCCAAAGCCCTAATTGTTCCGCGAATTCTTAATTAATGTGACAGATCTTTTTTGTTAACGCGTAATTAAAGATAATATTGGAGGTCAAAATACACGTACAAGATATAAGTATTAAAGATTAGAATTCAGCCTTAATATAACCAATTCCATTCACTAAATCACACACATAAACAATGTTTAACATAAGGACAGATCTATTACTACGGAATTCATTCCAATTTATAAGATTCCATAGTTCAAAAGCAAGTTCTAAAAAATGGTTACAACGTCAAAAAGCTGATCATTATACCAAAGAAGCTCAATTTCAAGATTATAAATCAAGAGCAGCTTTTAAATTATTACAAATCGATGATAAATATGATATTTTCAAATCTGGTCAAAACGTTGTTGATTTGGGGTTTGCTCCAGGTGCTTGGACTCAAGTTGCAACTAAAAGAGTTGAACCAAATGGTAATGTACTTGGTGTTGATATTATACCTGCAAACCCTCCAAAAGGTGCATCTGCTATACAGGCAAACATCTTGAGTAAACAAACTCATGTATTGATAAGGAACTATTTTTTAGATCCTAAAAATCAAATTAAAGATCACATTGATGATATAATTAATCATCCAAGTTATATTGAGGCTGAATTACGTGATAATCCATCATTAACAAAAGAACAATTGGATACAAAATCAAAATTCCCAATTGATGTTGTTCTAAGTGATATGTATGATCCAATTCTACCACCTGAAAGGTCTTGGAATAATACAACTAATATTGCTTTTTATAGGATGGCTAATACTTCTGGATTAATTGCAAAAGATCATATGGCTAGTATTGTAAGTTGAATCACTTGTTTTTCCCCCATGTTTGATGATACTAATTTTTCATTATAGAATTTATGTGACGCTGCATTAATCTTAGCTATTGATTTATTAAAACCAAAAGGTAAATTTATTTGTAAATTTTTTGCAGGTACACATGATAGAAGTTTAGAAAAAAGATTGAAAAAAGTTTTTGATAGAGTTACTAGAGAAAAACCAGATGCTAGTAGATCTGAATCAAGAGAAAATTATTTCATTTGTCAAGGTAAAAAATCAAATGTTGATAAATATCAAGTATTTCAATAGTTGATATGACCCCCATATACATAGACCCTAAATAGAAATTATAATGACTTAATGATTACAGTATAATATTTTAACGTTAACATAATTTTTATTTGTATTAAAAAGAAAAAACACATATAGTAAAAAGGTTATATAAAATCGTTCTAAATTCGAAGGGTAAGAAACACAGAAATGTTTATTTTAATATTCATTCAGATTCAGCATCTTGAAATGATTCATCTTCAGCTTCAACTTCAGCTTCAACTTGTTCAACAGGTTCAGCTTCTTGAGTTTGTTCTTGTTCTTGTTCAACTGATTCTTCTGGTTTTTCATCATTTAAATCAACTAAATCTTGTTGTTTAGATTCTGGTTCTTGTTGTATTTGATTTGGAACTGTTATTCTTTCAGCAATAAATCCTTTACCTAATTTTTCCAATTGATTTTTCCAATTTTCAACAGATTTTTCAATATTACCACCATAAGTTAATCCAAAGAATGAAGCTTCTGTAAATTTATTATTTATATTTAATAATTCAATTGCTTTTTCAATATTTCCTGTTGTCCAATATGCGTTAAATGCAACATTATATTTACCTCTTTTTTGAGCTTCTTCTGCTAATTCTAATAATTTAGTTTTATTATTAAATGAAGTATATAATAATAATAAACTTTCAATATCATTAGCTTTTTCAAATGATTCAATAGCTAATTTATATTTGAAAGAATTTAATGCTAAATCACCTAATGATTTCCATTTATGTTCTGTATTTTCAGAGTTTGCAATAGATTTTGCAGTTTCAAAATCTTTAATTTTAATTGCAATTTCAAATTTTTGTTCAGAATCTGGTGAAATTTCTAAAGCTTCTTCTAAATATTCTTGAGCTTCTAAAAATCTTGAAATTTTCAATAAATCTGTTGATTCAATATTTGGTAATAAATCTTGATTTGCTTGTTCTAATTCACCTCTTAATACCAAGGTTTGATATTCTAAAACTGGTAATGATAAATGATAGCTTGTAATATTTATATCTTTATCAGTAACATAAACTTTATTATCACGAGCTAAATAACCCAATAGATATGCATTTTTATCAAAATGTGCAATATTATAAGTTTTACCACCAACTAAATAATTTAATCTATTTGTTGATGTAGTGAAAATGAAAACATCACCAACCCATTTACCTGATGTAATAGTTTCATTAACATCATATAAAACTTCAAATGAATCTTCAACACCATCTTCTGGATCAATTGAACCTTGTTCTAAAGCTTCAACGAAAACATCTCTATCAAATCTTAAGGCAAATGAAGCTTCATTAGAAATAATTAAAACTAATTCACCAGATTCTGACCAAACAATATCTGTAGCATCAACATCAATTCTTCTAACTAATTCTTGTGATTCCCAATCATAAAAGGCAACAAATCCATCAGATTTAATACCTAATAAAGAACCACCATATAATTTTTCCACTTCATAAGGGAAATCAATTGGTCCATTTGATTTAACTTTAAAATTTTTCCAAATTGTAATTTCATTTGATGAATCTCTTATAGCATAAATATTTGGATCTTGAGCCCATACAAAATCTAATGCTGAACCATATTCTTTATTTCTCCAAGCTAATGCAGTATAGATTATAAATTCACCATCACCGGTAACAGTAACAAAACGACCATTTGGTGAATGTTTTAAAGATGATGGGAAGATTTCCACAGATCCAAGATCTTTTGATGATAATGGTAAAGTTTCACCATCTTCAACTTGTTCATTACCTTTAATAACTGAACTATAAACTTCATTATTTTTAGACCAAATTAATTTACCAACTGGATCCATTGAAATTCTTGGTTCATCATTACCAAAAGCTAAAACTCCAAAACCTGCATCATAACCAATAGCAACTGAATTTGAATTTTTATGAGATGATATACACCAAGCTCTTTCTAAACCATAGTTTAAAGTTTTTTCTAATTTATAAGTGTTTGCATTCCAAATTTTGATAGTTGCATCTTCAGAACCTGAAATGATTAAAGGTAATTCTTGATGATAAATTGCAAATGAGACATTTGAAGAATGACCTTCTAATGTAGCAACAGCAGATTTTGTTTGATAATCCCAAACTTTAATAGTTCTATCATCTGAAGCAGTTAATAAATAAGGTTTATCAGATTGTGGATAATAACTAACATAATTAACACCTTTTTGTTCATGTGCAACTAAAGTGAAATTTGGTTGACTATTACCTAAGCTCCAAATCTTAACAGTATGATCAAGACATGCAGATGCAAATGTATTTGGATCTTTTGGATTAAAAGCTAAAGACATAACATAATGTTGATGACCTTCAAAAGTTTGTTCTAATTTCCAAGAATTATCCCAATTCCATAATTTTATAGTAGCATCATCAGAAGAAGTTAAAACAAATGGTCTTGTTGGATGTACTGCAATTGAACGAATATAATCTGGATGAGCTTCAAATTGAGCAATTTTTTCACTAGTATTATAATTATAAACTCTAACTTGGAAATCATCTGATCCGACAACAATCCAGTTTTTACGAGCAATGAAACGACCAGAACGTACTGGGACATCAGCAACATCAATTGATTTTATCTTTGTCTATAGATATAGTAGTTAGTGACAATTCACGACTCCAAATAAATGATATAATGAAATATCGAAATCATAATACATACACCAGTTTCATATGACCATATTTCAACACGACCTGAATAAAGAGTGGTCAACACCCAAGGTTCAGTAGGATGGAAGTCAATACCCTTGACTCTATCAGTTCTTGAGCTGAATTGTTTCTATGATATATCAGTTAGTAAATCAAATTCCAATTGAAATATAAAATATCCCACGTAAACAGTGCCAACAATGTCAACAATCATCAAAATCATCAGATCCTCACACGAATCGGCCCTGTAAACGCGCACTTGTCACATACCTTAACGTCCAACTTCATTTTGTGCACAATTCACGACGTAGTACTAGTTCAAAACAATAGGAAGCAGCTTTCCAATCAGCACAAGTCTCAATGTTGTTGTTGTTGATTTGATCTCGAAGAACACAAGTGTTCAATTCAATTTTGTTTTTCAAAAATAACCAGAAATTCGCGGAAATTTTGGATCGCGCCTGTCAGCGTGAAAGTGTCAGTAAAATATATAAAGTACTACAAATTTCAAAAGATTTTTCAATTTATTTTGATAGTTTATATATACAAGTTATACGGTTTATACACTGGTTTATTCCTCTTCTTCTCTGATCTTCTTCACGTCTCTCATTTCTTGTTCTGAATCACAAACAGCATACAGAATCAATGAGATCAAAACCAAAAACAAATTTGGTAAGAATGGATATCTATCATTACCAGTACGATCTTGAATAGTAGCATTAACCAAATCTCCAATCCAACCAACAGCAACTCCCAACATAATCTCCAACCCAAAATATTGAGCCTCTTCACCTTCTGGTAACATGGAACTATACAATGTTCTATTCAATGATCTCATTGCAGAACTTGAAGCTGAATAAAACACTTCAAAGACCCAAAATTCCCAACGATGTTTGAAACCAACTTTAGTATTTGAATTAATACCTAAACAACCCCAGAAATTTGTAAAAAATGATATGGAAAGGAATGAATAGGCCCACTGCTTGATAGTTAAGCGAGTTCTTGGATATGCAAACATCCAAGCTAATGAACCCAATGAAGCTAAAACATAAGACATCCATGTATAAACAGTATATTCAGAATCAGAATTACCAATACCCAAAGTGGATCTAAATAATAAGACCCAAACCATCATGAAATTATTAAAACTAACATTCCAAATAACCCAAGCAATACATAATATAAAAGCATTTGGATATTTTCTAATTTGTTTAATCAATCCATACATTCTCTTGAAAGTTAAAAATTGTAAAAATTCACCTTTTGGTAAAGGTTTCCCCTTTGTACTAGGAATATAATATGATGAAATCATACTGAAAACCACAGTGACACATCCTGCTATAGTTATAGCTAAAAGAAAATTATGATATCCATCTTCTTGTGGTGTACCTCTTCCATATGAAATAATTATACCAATTAAAAGAGCAGTCATCCCACCACAATTACCCAAGAATATACCCATGACACTAACGGTTGAACCTCTTTTCAAAACCATTGAACGTCTAACATCTTCAGCTAATACTTGCTCAGGCTGATGTCCAGCTTGATCATCACCATTATTATCACGTTTTGCTGGAACTGCAGCTCTCATAAATAATGGAATATAAGAACCTTCTAAAATTTGATAAATTGCATTATCAACATTCAATAAACCATAAAGAGCACTTAATCCTCTTAAATGAGCATAAGTCTTATCAGTTAATCCAGCAAAAGGTAAGGCAAAACAACCATATAATGCAACTGATGTGATCAAGATCCATTTTCTATAATTTGAATAATCTGCAATCCCCATCAATAATAACGCAACGACACCTTCCAATGCAGTATAAATAGCTTTTAAATATAAGACATATGAAGAATAATGAACAAGACCTGTACCAAATTTAACAAAACAATCATTACCTCTAAGTCCACATTTTTCACCAGTTGATGTTTTCCCAACACTTCTTGCAACTGATTGAATCGTAGCTGGAACATAAGTACGACTCATTGATGCAACAGGACCTGTAGTAAAACATAATAATAACCAAGCTCTATAAATAGTCTTTTTGGACCAAATATTTGATTCATCTTGTGGATCAACCTCATTGTTTAAGAGTGCTGAAGTGGATTGAGATCCAACAGAATGAACATTTGGGCGCTCCGTTATGGAATCATATGATTTCCTTTCTTCATCATTGATGATTGGACCTTCAGTTTGTTTAGTCATGCTGATTCAATGATAAATGACTATAATACTTTCAAAATAAACGATTTTAAACAAAGTCTTTCACTAGATATATTCACCTTTTATATTTCTACTAATTTTCAATCAAAACATGGCTTCATTGTTCAATAACTCTTTACTTTCAATAGGTTTACGAGTATAAGGATGTTCAAGGACCCTATAATTTATTGTTAATTTGCTCATTCCTATTTAAGTTAAAGATCACCACATAAAACCACTAATTTGAAGTATAGCTTAATTAAAGTTTGATTAACTTTTTTTCATTTAACCTGGATTTACTTTGTATAGGTAATAATTGCTCATACTTTAAACGTGCCTTTAAAAATTTCGCTACATAAGTATCTGTAATCGATTGAGTACAATTAAATTATAGTAACTCTATAACATGCATTAAAACTAATATAAAATACTAATGCAGTACATAATGCTAAGTATGTCAACTTTAATGTTGATTTAAAGATTTTTCCCATTCTTTCCTCCATTTTGGACCTTTAATCATCAAGATAATAACAAATACCAATCCAATTAAATCAATTAAAGCTAATCCTGTAAAACACCAACCAAATCCCATTTTTTTAATCAATATATCAATTAAAACTGATGAAATTGCAGCTGCTGAATTTCTGAAAAAATTTCCAATTGCAACATTTGTTGCAGGTTGTCTTGTTGAACATTCAGTTAAATAAGTTGTTGTTGTAACAAATACCCAAGTCATACCAAATCCACCTAAAAATGTGAAAACAAACACTGCAGAAACATGAACTTTTTTATCAACTAACCAACCATACCCCAAAACACCAATCATTGAAATTAATAAACCGAAAATTTGTAAACTAAAACGATTTTCTGGGACATAAGTTTCAGGATTTTTTTGAATTAAATAACGACGTAATTTATCACTTAATCTTCCACCAATTAATGAACCACTAATTAATGAAGCACCAGGACAAATATATGCTAAAGATCTTTGTAAATTTGTAAAACCATAATTTTCTTGTAAAATTCTTGTAAATGTAACACTCATACCATAAAAAGTTGCAAATAATAAACCTGCATTTATTGAACAAAGTAAAACAGGTTTATATTTTAAAATTCTATAATAATTTTTCAATGATGGTTTTGGTGGTTTTGGATATTTTGGTGAATCCTGGACTAATTTTGGTTGTTTTAAATGTTTTGGAATTATGAACCAATTTAATATTGATTTTGAATGTTGATTATAAATTTCTCCATTACCAACAAGATAACGTAAAGTTTCTGGTAATAAAAAAATAATTAATAAATAAACAACACCACCATATATGGCTAAAAATCCAAAAATCCATCTCCATGAACCATTTGATGCAATAATACTTAAAATTGGACCAAGTATTGGACCTAATTGAGGACCCAACATGAAATAACTAATAGCTTTAGCACGATCTTTTGGTTCCACTATATCGGCAACAGTACCAGCACCAACACTCATAACACTTGAAGCACCAAAAGCTTGAACAATTCTCAATACGAATAAAGCACCAATATTTGGAGGTAATGAAGCTAACAAGATATTTGAAATTAAAAAAAACACTAATGAAGTTAAATACAATAATTTTCTACCACCAAAATCAGCCCATGAAGCCCATAATAATGGAGCAATTGCAAAAATTGCCATAAATACAGAAACTGTTGCATTTATTGTAGTTTCTGAACATTTGAAAACATCTTGTAATAAAGGTAAGATTGGGATATAAATATTCCCACTAACAGGACCTAAGAATCCAGCCATTGTAACTAAACCAACTATGAAATTTTTTCTATTTTGTGAGAATGCAGAATATGGAGTATTATCTTTTGGAGGAGTTGGTTGTGGTGATTGTTTTTCTAAATCACTAACTGTGGTATCATCTTTAATCACGTCTTTGTTAATTTCCTGGATTTGTTCACCTTTTGACTCTTCCATTGCTTCAAGTTCTTGTAATTCAATGGATTCAGCACCATCAGAACACGTTTTGAAAGATTCAGTTGACATTTTGGATAATGAAACAAAGATTTAATGATTAAATAAAACCCATAATCAAATCTCAAGAATCAATAAAAGAAGCCATTGAATAATCAAATACGCTTACAATGAGCAATTAATCGACAATGAAACATTCAGCCGCTTCCTCTTTTTTTTCTCTTTAGCCTTGTACAAATTGTTTTTTTGACTTTCTCATAATTTGCTCAATTGCAAAGCATTATGGCGGCTAATCTTTTACTGGAAACCAATTGAAAAGAGGAAAAGTAACCAAAAAAAGCATCAAATTAGCACTTTAGAATAGCAATTTGTCACCATTATCACCATGTCTGATACTGATTTCAATCCCATTTTGTTCCTAGCTCTTTATGGTTTCGTTGATGATTTCGATGATTTCATTGTTTTGATTGTGTTGATTTTGTTGTATCGGAGATTTACTTGAGAAGTTTTTGAGATCTACCAACCATTTACAAGAATGGCACAACAGGGTCCAAGAAATAGACATGAGAAGATACTAAAATTAAACATGATATAAATGGATTGTTTCCTTTCCTTCTTGGTTATCATTGGCTCATGATGCTTTGCTATTGCTACCTGTTTTTTTAGCTGGTTTGAATTGGTGTTCATAGGTCATAAAGATGTCATTTTTTCAAGATATTAATACTGATTCATTGGGTCATATTGCTGGATTAGCTGCTTTGGTTGGTTTAACTTATTTAATAATCACCATTGTGTTTCCCCCAATTAATTTCCCTAAAAATATTCCAACTATTCCATTTTATGTTTCATTTTTAGGTGCTTATACCTCTATGGATCAATTACAAATTTATGAATACTATTTAAAAGATAAATTAGATAAATATGGTGCTGTTAAGATTTATTTTGCCTCAAGATGGAATATATTAGTTACAAAACCTGAATATTTACAAATCATTCTCAAAAATGAAGCCTTATATGCTAAAAGTGGGAATCATAAAAAAATTCCTTATGCTGTTTTATCTCGTTATACTGGTGATAATGTTATTAGTGCACATGGTGAAGTTTGGAAACTTTATAGAAGTGTTATAACAAATAGTATTCAGTTCCCGGATAAATCATCAACTAACCAAAATGCCATGAAATTAGTTGAATTAATTAATAATTCAATTGGTTCAGATTTAAATTCCAAATCATTACCAGTTGGTGATTTTTTACAAAAATTTTCATTACAAAATATTTGTCAATCAATGCTTGGAATTGATTTCAAATTATTAGATGATCCAAATCAAGAATTACATCAACGTTTAAAATATGTTAAATCACAAATTTTCAAAAGTTTTTATATGAATTTCCCAATTTTTGATCAATTACCAATTCCATCAAGAATTAAAGCAAAAGAAGAAGTTGATAAATTTAGAGAATATTTTACACAAAGAGTTAAAGATGAACAATTGAAAAATTTTGCAAATAAATCAAGTGCAGGTTATAAATTATATGAAGCTTTACAAGCTGGTTTAATCACTGAAAAGCAATTTACTGATAATGCAGTCATTATCTTGGTTGCAGGTCATGAAAATCCACAATTATTATTTACTTCATTATTATATGTCTTAGCTAAACATCCAAAATGGCAAACTAAATTACGTGAGGAATTAATTAATATTGATGATGACATTGATTTAGAAAATTTTATAAATTTAAATGCATTTATTTTTGAAACTTTAAGAATGTTCCCACCTTTAGGACAAATTATTAATAGAGAAACAACAAAAGATGCACTATTAGGTGGTAAAATTCATATTCCAAAAGGTACATATATCGGTTATAATAATTTTGTTACAGGTAGAGATTCAACACATTGGGAAGATTCAAATGAATTTAAACCTGAAAGATGGATACCAAATGATAACAACATTTCTGAAATGTTAAAATTTTACAAAACATCCAAGATTAATTGTACAATGGCTGCATTTCATGGTGGTAAAAGAGCATGTCTTGGTGAAAAATTTGCACTTTTCGAAACAAGATTATTTCTAAAACATATTGTATCAAATTTTAAAATTTCTTTAGATCCAACTTGGATTGATCAATTAACACCTGCTGGTCCAATTTGTCCAATAATGTTACGTATCAATTTTGAGAAATTAGAGTCAAAAAAGACACAATGAAGATAGATCCAGGTCGATAGAGCCCAATACAATGACTTTGAATACTCATTTCAATACAGATATCTGTAGTTAATACAAGAGTACATCGAAAATTGTAAGAATTATTCTTGTACCGTTTGAACTTTGGACCGACCATAATACGATTTAATTCTTCTCAGTATTGATAATTGTATTCAAATATCAAAATATTCTCATACTTAGACATCTGGACACCGACAAGATATAAGTACTCTTCATTATCCTTCACTATTACTCACGGTAACTATATAACATTACAATACTTGAGTGATTTCAAAACTTGAAACCCCAGCTGTTTATTGGAAATCCAAACTTGCCTGAAATGAAGGTTTAATTAGCAGCAGAGACAAAAGGATATCATAAACTTTTAAATTTGACAGATAAAGAATTAATTGAAACGTTATGTTTGGAGTCGGTGGAAGAAAGTACACGTCATACAAAAATGTACCAAAGTTATCAATCTGATCGGTTTGTTGCAGCTCTATGTGATCCAAGAACTTCTTTTCAATACAAAATAAATGAAATTTTCCAAATTGTGGAACCTCAAAAAATTGAATACAAAAAGATTACTGTTAAATTAAAAGTGAAAAGCCATCCAACTAAAGTTTTGAGTAAGGAAGATATCAACAATATAAAGGCATATTTTGATTGGTGTGGATGGGCGCATTACCTTCAAATATTTATGAGACCAGACTTGAAAATTTCGGATGTTTTGACTTATTTTAATCGAGCAGGTGATTCTTTAAAACCAGATAAAGATATTGATGAGGATATTTGCAAAATTAATAGTGAAAGACTTCCAAGAATTTTCATATTTATTAATACCCCCAAATTCTTCAAAATATTCAATAGATTATTGAATTTTTATTCAAACTCAATGGATTCAAGTTATTGTTCACGATATCAATTGGTTGGTAAAGTTATTCAAAAACCTAGTTCAAATTATATTAGTATTGAAGGAACGATACCTCATCGTAATTGTGTTTATTTCTTTTGTCCTCTCAAATCAGCTCGTGAAGAGTTACGTATCAATGAAGATTTCATAAAGGGCTGGTCAAAACTCTTTAAAAGTATTAAGTTTGAAAATCCTAAATCAGAGAATCATAGATCTTATTCGATATATGATATTGAAAGTGCAAATGACTTGTATGAAAAGGAATCATTACCAGAATATTCACGCACTTAATCAAGTTTAGTTCATAAATATTCCTTTTAATTATGTGTAGTTTGATTCTGCTGGTTACGAAGCCCGCGAATCCTTGAAATGTGGAATTTTTGGATGATCTGAGAAAAATAAAGAAAAACTGAACAACGAATACGTCAAAAATTAACAAAAACAAAGAAACAATTGTCAAGGAAATTTTATAATCGAATAGAAACTTTTTGTTTTCAGTTTTAATTAAATATTACAATGTGGATTTTCAACTGGTGTATGTATTTATATTGTACAAGTTTCCCTGGTGTTTTTGTGATTGTTATGGGTTGATATGTTGATATCTCGTTTAATGAGGATTGATAAATAAACAATCAGAACAGAATATATCACCATTATCAAGATTAATTACTAACAACTTCCCACAGTTCAAGATATCTTAGCCTCATTAGGTTTATGGAATAAACATGCCAAATTATTATTTTTAGGTTTAGATAATGCAGGTAAAACTACTTTATTACATATGTTAAAAAATGATAGATTAGCTACTTTACAACCAACTTTACATCCAACTTCAGAAGAATTAGCAGTTGGTACTGTTAGATTCACCACATTTGATTTAGGTGGTCATCAACAAGCACGTCGTGTTTGGAAAGATTATTTCCCAGATGTTAATGGAATTGTATTTTTAGTTGATACTGCTGATCCACAAAGATTTGAAGAATCAAAAGCTGAATTAGATGCTCTTTTAGCTATTGAAGATTTAGAAAAAGTTCCATTTTTAATCTTGGGTAATAAAATTGATTCACAAAAAGCTGTTTCTGAAAATGAAGTTAGACAAGCTTTAGGTCTTTATCAAACTACTGGTAGAGGTAATGTTACTTTAGGTGAAAGAATTAGACCAATTGAAATCTTTATGTGTTCTGTTGTTTTGAGACAAGGTTATGCTGAAGGTTTTAGATGGTTATCTCAATACATTTAATCAAAGAAATGTATATGAAATATAGTATTATTTTTTAAACTATTGGATTTGGGATTTTTCTTTTAAACTTTTTTTTAAATATATGTTTAATCTAATGAATATGAATCATGTAAATTATTGACACTACATGATAAATATTATGAAGTATAAGTCATCTATTGAAGACTAAATATAACGGAACACTTCCCTTGATTGTAAATGTTTAGTATCGATAATATCTAAAAACATCCAAAATACAAGGATGATCTGTATAAAAAACATATTCCCTTTTCTCAATTATATTTGAACCATTTTCAGCAGCAGCTTTTCTTTCCAATTTCTTAATTTGAGCCCAATAATTTACATAAACATCAAATACACCTTTCAATTTATCAAGTCTATTAAAATAATCTGGATCACCAATATGTATATAGACATGCAAACCTTTATAGACTCTTGCTAAATATGTATCAAATGGATTAACCCTATATCTAGGTGGTAAGGAATGTAGTTTATAAGATTGACCAGTGGTTTTATTATAACGAATTGATGTATAATCATTTTCACGATTTTTAATAATATCAACATCATTATCAAATCTAATAGACATCAAATCTTCAAAAAGGTTAATGATTGATTTTACCTGTAATGGTGAATAATTTTTATTTGAATAATCACGATATATGATATTAACATATTCATGTAATCTTTCAGTTAATTGCCAATCATAAATCCAAGCTGTATCATCATTAACTCTTATTGAATTTGAAAGTTTATCACAAAGTTGTTTTAAATGTTTTAATTTTGAATTGAAAATTTCATCTTCAGCATATTCATCCCATGAATCTGGACCATCTTTAGCTATTGAATTGATTATAGTATCTTTACAAGAGTAATCCATCTCTTCGACTTCGACCATTGTTAATTATAGTCTGGGTTTTAAAAATGAATGATTGTGAGGAAAGAGATAAAGGCAAGAAGTCAAAAGGAAGGAGTTATCATGGCTTCTTATATACATTTGACATATAATTGTTCTCTAAAAGTTGCGCAGGTTTAAACAGAAAGTATTAAAGGTTTAAATTAAAGGACTCAATTATATGAGTATAATCCTGATGTTGCAAATCTTACCTTCATGCGCCCTTAATCTTGAGCTGAATATGCATTGAAGAATGAATACTATGAAAGTAAAGTAGAAATTCCATCCCAGCCATAATAGCTATCTTGTAAGGGGTTGAATTTCAATGATTTTGAATATAATATTGATTATAGTGATTACGCATATATTACGTAATACATATAGTAATTCTATTAATTATTTTGATGATCGGCTAATTTTGTAAAGTATATAAAAAGTAAAATTGCCACTTAGTTTCAAATTCAATATCATTTTACCATTTTTGATTATAGAGATTACCATACCATCAAACCAATTGCTTTCACAAACATTTTCTGATTCATTATTACCTGCGCCATATTGTGACATTGTGACCAATATTAATTGTACTTTGTGACCATTGTGACCAACATTAGTACTTTGATCATTTTTGTTATTTGTAGATTCGACTAACGTCAGTGTTACCATTAGAGCTAAATGTATTATAAATTATTTCATAGTTGAATACTAGGGTTATTGATTTTCATATACAAACCAATAGATATATTCAAATAGAAATCTAATAGAATAGAGGTGATTGATATTCAGATTAACATATAGATCATTTGGAATTGATCTTCACTAATTGAATATATGATTACTTTGTTATTTTGAGTTAAGTAATTGTACGTGTAGTGATTCGATTTGATTGGCCCTTTTATTATCAAGATATGAACAATTCCATCATGACGTTCTGATTCTTTATTTGTGAAATCATTTGTTTGTGACAGCGGCTAATTTTTTGTATAAAAAGATCAAAATTTCCCTTTTTTTCCCTCTCATTTTCAACAACTTTTAATTGATTCAACATGCAATGTAATTATTCACTTCTTATTTAACATATAAAGGTCAGTATTGTCCAAGTATTTAAGGGATCTATGGTTCTCAAATGATAAATTTAGACTTGGGATTTAATATGATCGTATAGAGAACTTGAATTTCCATAGTTGAACTGTTAACAAACAAACTTCACGTGGAACCCATAGTTTCAATAAACAAAAGCATCACAATGAATCTAAATTAATTTGATTCAATCAGTGATGTTGATTATTATTTTGATCAATTTCTATACTCCTTGTAGCTTCATTATTCAATCTCCTTTCTACAAATATAAAACAATCTAAATGCAATATATGTATAATATTAATGTACAAATTATGTTTTCATTAGTGGAATTCTATATAAACATGTCGATGGCTTTAAAACATAATCATAAACGACGTTTTTTACCATCACCACCATCATCACCACCACAACTACCTCTTTTCTTACCAACTCTTGCAAAATAATCCTTTTTACGTTCTTTATCCTTTTCAGATTTAATTTCTTCTAATTTAGCTAATTTTTTTAATCTTTCTTTTCTTTTATCATCTTTTGTTGCCTTCTTTTTTTCATCTTTTGCTTTACTAATTGTAGCTAATTTTTGCATTAATGCTCTTGCTTTCTTTTCTTCACCATTCAAGACAACAGCTCTCTTAGCCATATAAGTTTTCTTTTTTTGTGGTTTCATTTCATGAACTTGAGATTTAAAAGGTAAATCAGCTTTAATAGATTTTGGAATTTTTAACCCATTGAAATGTCTTTCAGGTCTTTCAATCTTTGAATATAAACTATCATTATTATTTTGTAATTCAATATTATTAGCTGCTCTAATTTGTCCAGTTAATCTCATACCTTTCCATTCACTTTGATCATTTAATAAATGTGAAGTAACTGGATTATAAAATTTCTTAACACCAACTGGATACCAAGTTCTTAAGATAACAATATCACTCATAATAATTTTATCTTCAAATGTAGCTCTAAAATTACCTTCTGGTTTACTCATTGCACGTTTAATTTCACCTCTAATACCTGAAACTGTTTTAATTTGTGCACCTTCAAATCTTGCAACTTCTAATGATGAAGTAAACATATCTTTAATGAAAGCAGTATTTCTTTCAATTCTTTGTGGATAACCAACTAATTTTAATTTTTTAACAATTTCTGTTGAACTATCAACTTTATCAATAACACCTGTAGCTGAAATTCTAAATGAACCAGTTGTATCACTATTAGCAACAACTTGCACCGCACAGAATGTTGTACTTGGTGCAACTAAAGGACCATAAAATGTGGCAGAACAATATGTATGTTCTGGTGTATATTTTAACATTCTTGTTCTTGTTCTTGAATCTGATGTAGTATAAACTGGTAAAGTTTGAAATCTTCTCCAACCTAATGATAAAATTAATGGATCATTTGATTTTAAAATTTTCTTGTGCCATCTATGTCTTCTAATTCTTGCATCCATATAACCAAATCTTTCTTCACTTGGTAATAACCCACCTAAAACTAATGGATATTTTGGATTAAAATTTTCAATTAATTCAGGTGGAACTTGTTCAAAAACAAGACGAACATATGAACCAGCTCTATAACCTTCGATTCTTGCACGAATTGCTGGATCCATTGATTCAAATTCAGCTTTATTGATATCTAATTGTTTTGCCATCTTGGCTTTTTGAATTTCATACCAAGTATCTTCTTCATTTTCTGGATCTTCAGTACCAATTTCTTTACCGCCTTCTTCAGCTTCAAATTGTAATCTTAATTTTTCCTTCTTTTTAGCATTCAAAGCACGTCTTTCATCCAGGGATAATGATGGATCAAAAGCTTCTTCTTCAGATTCTTCACCTTCACTTATTTCTTCATCACCTTTTTCTTCTTCAGCTTCAAAATCTGCAAAATCATCACCTTCATCTGAATTTTCACTATCATCATCATCATCATCATCATTGTTGTTGGATTTTTTACTTGATGTTCCTTCTTCATTACCTTCAGCTTCAAGATCTTCGAAATCACCATATAATTCTTCATCATCTTCACCATTACCTTCACCTTCTTCATCATTATCATTAATGATTTTCTTGGCTGATACAAAGAATCTTGATTGTAATTTTTTCAAAGTATCTTCATTCCATTTTTCTTTTAATTCATCAATACTTGGATAATCTGGAATAAATTTATCTTCTTTTGATTCAACTATGGAATCTGTCTTTTTCTTGAAGAAATCATCATCATCTTCTTCTTCATCGCTACCAACATTACTTTCAGTAGAACTTTCATCTTCTTCTTCTTCAATATCTTCTTGTTTCCATCTCTTGATAACATCTGCAGGTTCAATATTATTCAAGTATAACATTTTAGAAATATCCCATTTACGTTGAACAGAACCTTGTAATCTTGAAGCAGCAGATCTCCAACCATTTTCTTCATCATCATCTAATTCTGAAGCTTCTTCTAATTCAAATTGATCTTCATTTTGATCATTGTTGAAATCAATTTCAATTAATTTTCTTCTTGCATCTTCACCTTCATCATTATCATCTTCAGCATCTGAATTTAATTCAGCATCATCTTCTTCGTTTAATGGTTTACCATAGACTCTTGGATTACGCATTGATGATCTACCAGTGTTCTTACCTTGTTCTTGTTCTTCTTCACTTTCTTCTTCATCTTGATCTTCTTCATCTTCATTATAATCATCACCATTAGTTTTAGCACCATTGGAAAAAATTTGTAAACCAACATCTTGGAATCTTTCATCAATTGTTTTATCAACACTTTGTAAACCAGTAACTAATTGTTCACCAACACCTTTTTCTTCACCTGGAACAAAAGAAGCTTGACCAACATCAATATAAACAGCATCTTTATCAACCAAGACACCACCAACATCAGACATTGGAGCATAAATGATTTTTTGCTTATCATCTAATCTTTTACGTCTTCTTGTTGTCTTAGCCATTGGTTCACCATTTTCAATAGCTTGTTTTTGTTTTTCTCTTTCAATTTCTTCTAATTTTTGTTCAAAATATGGAGTTGGACAAGGATCTGGTAATTTTTCCACTGATGATACAGTATAATCACCAACACCTGCAATATGAATTCTTGCATTATCATGAGGTAAAGGAGTACCATGTAAATAACCATAAACTGCAACTTTTCTATCACATTTATTATTTTCTTCAATTAATGTTGGATGTGTAAGATCAGTAATTCTATCAGCCAATAAGTAAGGATGTTCATTTCTCCATTTTAAAGGTCTAAATTTCATAACTGATATAAATCTTGATAAATTTAAGATTTCTCTATCTGGGTATCTACCATTAATAACACCACTTAGGTAAAATAATTTAGCACCTGAATAAACTTCAGTCCAAAATCTACTTTTTAATCTTTTTTTTGAAGTTCTTAACGTTGCTTGAGATTTAAATAAATCTAAATGTGTAGTAACACCAAGAACTCTAGGCATACCATGATGTTGAGCAATATTTAAAAATTCCATAGTTTCCATTTCTAAACCAAAATTACCATCAACCATAAGTAAAACTAAATCTGCAATTTTAGCAGCATCAATCATAGAATTCATATCATTAGCAACTTCAATAAAAGTTAAACGACGACGTTTACCTGAAACAACAGTAATTGGACCTTTAATTTCACTTAATGTATGTTTTGTTAAACGTCTAACTAATGATCTAATCAATGTAGTTTTACCAGTACCTGGAGGACCAACAACAGCGACAATAACTGGAGGTGGGTCATCATCTGGAGTTCTATCCACCATTGGAACATGTAATTTTCTTTCATTAACATCATGAGATCTTCTAGCCATACGTTCAAGCTTCTTTGGAGCTGCCACTGCAAATGCTTTAGCATTGAAACCTTGTGTATGAAGCTTCTTCTTGGCAGTGTTCTTGTTGGTCTGCCCTCTATGGGACTTGTTTGACTGTTGACCGTCCATCTTCAACTCTGCAATCGACTAGTCTTCCAACACAACAATTCTATTAATCTAATCACAAGAGTCTGTTTACCATATAAATTTTGTTTAAATGCGTATATAATTTTTTTTTTTTTCCTGCATGAGATGAGTTCGCGAAATTCGCGAAAATGGTCGGATCTCTTGATCTCTGTTCACGTGACTGTGCTTATAAAGTTTTTTTGAGTTCCGACTTGATAATAAACGTTCAAAATTCAAACATCAAAAAATCAAATTTTCCTTAAAAAGCGCGTTGAAGCTGGTTTAAACTATATAATTCCTGGCTAGAACAACAACTTTGCTTGCTTTGTTGGTGCTGTTGATAGTGGATCGTTTGCTCATAGTGACAAAATAGCTGCTTAGAAAATGGTAAGTATTTGCTGTTGTGTTTTGATTTGGCGCTTATTCCCAAAGATCAGGTGGACTTGTGTCCACCTGATCCATGGAATAAACAACTTGGATTATACGATTAGATTATACTAACGAGAATTTTGATTAGGTGCTCTACAAGAGGAAACCGGTGCCTTTCCCACCACCAAAACCGTTACCAGAAAATCTAAATGTCAAATGTTGGTATATTCCATACACGAGAGAATGGTTCTTGACTTATGATGATTATTTACAAAGATTAGATTATTATAACACTAGGAAATTTGTTTGTGAAATCACTGGTAATTCATGTCTAACTTTTTTTGAAGCTTATGAATCAGAACAAAAAGAAATGAAGATTGTAGAGAAGAATTTCCCTGAACATCTGAAAGAACCAATATTGAGACATTTACAATTCAGCACAGTTCCAAGAATTGATCAATTGGTTGATGACGTTTATACCACATTCAAAAATGATTATTACCCAGGTGAAACTGTTATGATCAGACTGAATGATTACAAGAATGATTTCAAAACTAGATGTATCATTAGAGAAAAGGCTAAATTCAATGCCGTTGTGGATGCTAATAATAATCACCGTCCTGCATATTGTCAATATAGAGTTTCAAGAGTTGATAATGGATTAGAAGTTGTGGTTGATGAATCACAAATCACAAGAGATAGAAATAATTTTACTAAATGGTTTGTCAAGACTTTTATTAAATTATCAGTTTCAAGATCTCCAAAAATTGGTGCACCATGGATTGTTAAATCTAAATATGCTTCAAAATTTAGAATCCCAACTGAATTACCCCCTGAATTGGCTCAATTTAAAGAAAAACCACCAACTCCTAAAAGGAAACCACCTCAAACCATTCGTCCAAAGGGTGAAAATAATGCTAAACCTGCTACTGGTGATAAAAAATCAACTCCAGTACAACCGGGATCAAAACTACGTAACATAGCTCCAGCTCCAACAAATAAACCTGGAAGACAAGCTAATTTCAAAGTTAAAGAAGCAACACCACCACCTAAAAGAACTATAGAAGAAGATTTATCACAACCTGTTGAATCATTAACAACAAGACCAAAACCACAAAAAATAACCATTATTGATGATGTTATACAAGAAGCTTTAGAAAGTTGGACTTTCTTAAATGTTTATAGATCACCATTGATGTTGGATACTTTTACATTTGATGATTTCATAACTGCAATGAAATGGAATAATAAGAATAAACAATGTACATTATTAAATGAAATATTTTGTGCTGTTTTATCAGCTTTCATAACTGAAAAAAGTACAGATTTAACAATTACATTACCTGAAGATTTTGATATTGAAGATATTGAAATTGAAGAAAATGATGAATCAAAAATTAAAATTAAAGGTGAATCTGAAGAATTAAAACAAAATGGTGATGCATCTCATATTGAATCTGAAAATGGTGATTCAAAAGATACAAATGATGTCAAGGAAGAAGTTAAAGATGAAAAAGATAACCAAGAAGAAGTAAAAGAAGAAACACAAGAAGACCAAGAAGAAGAAGAAGAATCTGTAGAGGAAGAAAATCATGATGTTGAGAAATATTTAGAATATAGAGGTATTTCATGGCAAGAACGTTTACAAAAACGTAATTTTAAAGATGGAAATTGGCAAATAATTTTATTAGGTGTTTTAGATCTTGTAAGAGATATTAAAGATTATAAATCAATTATAAATGAAATTTTTGGAATTTTAGCACCATTAAATTCTACAGTTTCACCAAATGCAATTTTATCAAATTTTACATTTAATTTATCAATCAATTTAAGAATTAAAGCTTTAAATATCTTATGTTCATTACTTGTTAATTCACCAATAATAAGGCAATTTTTGGATAAATGTATGAGTGATTCAACTGAATTAAGAAGAGAAAGATTAGAATTACTTAGAGAATATAAAAGTGCATTTGAAAAAGCACAAAATACTGATAAAGAACTAAGAGAATTAGTTGGTGCAGGAAATACAAATACAACAGGTAATAATGGTGTTGGTAATGGAGGTAATACACCAGTTGCCAAAGATTCAGAACAAAATAATACACAACCATCAGAATCAACAGAAACAAATCCAAAAAAGAGAAGAAGAAGAACTGGTATAAGTAAAGAACCAACAGAAGAAGAATTATCAATTGCTAAAACTAATCCAAAATATGCAACTTTATTAGCTTCAAGAACTGCACAATTAAAAATATCTGAAGATTTAAGAAGTCAAAGAAAAAATTTAGAGAAAAAAATTATTGAATTAGATGTTCAAAGAATTAGATATTTAGGTAAAGATAGATTATTTAATCGTTATTGGTGGTTTGAAAATAATGGATTACCAAATCTTGGAAATGGTAAAAGTAGTGGTGGATCAGGTGATGAAGAAAATAATGAAGTTGAACAAGATGATGATGAAGATGATGAAGAAGATGAAGATGATGAATTTTTAAGTGAGACTTATCTTATGGGTAGATTATGGGTTCAAGGTCCAACTGATGAAGATGGATTGATGAAATTTGGTTTAACAAAAGAAAAAATTCAAGAATGGAATGATTTATTTAATCCAAAACCTGAAGAAGAAAAGGATGATGAGGATGAAGATGAAGATGATGACGAAGATAACAAAGATGATAAGAAAACTGAAGCCAAAGAAAATGGTGAAACAAAAGAAGAAACAAAAGATCAAGATGAAACACAAGATGAAATTACTGAAGAATCTTCATCAACAAATTCATTACCAATAAATTTCATTGAATCAACAGAAAAATTGTTTCAAATAAAATTTGAATCATCAAATAAAAACATTAAATCAATTAAAGATAATCGTACATTGGTTGATGAATATGGAGCAATTACAAGAAATTTATCATCAATTGAAAGAAAATTAATTGAAGAAAATCCAGATCCATTATTAACAACAAGACATTGGAGATATTATGATACTATTGATGATGTTGAAAAATTAATTAAATGGTTAAATCCATGGGGTGATCGTGAAGTTAAATTATTAAAAGAATTAAATTTTGTTAAAGATCAAATTAATTCAAGTATTAAATCAAGACGTAAAGCTCTTAAACTAGATTCAAAATCACAAGATGAAGAACAATTAGTCAAGACAATTGAAGAAATTGTTATATCAGAAACTGAAGATGAATCATCATCAGAATCTGAAAGTGAAGGAGAAGAAGGTGAAACTGGTTCAGAAGCAGATCCTGAATTTTTAGGTATGGCTGAAGAAGAAGAACAACCAAGAACTAGAAGATCAATAGCAGCAGCTGAAAAACAAGCAGAAGAACGTCGTCGTAAAGAGGAAGAAATTAGAAAACGTATTGAAGAAAGAAAAGCCAAGAGGGAAAGATCCAAACCAAGTCGTAGAATTGCTAAAAGAGAAGCTAAAAAGCGTAAAATAAAAGAACATCAAGATAAAAAACAAAGAAAGGAAGAATTAGAATTAAAATTAGAAAATTTACAAGAATCTAATGAAATTCAACGTTGTTTAGATTGGGTTAATCAAAGTGCAATTGAATCATTAGGTCATACACATTATGAAGGACCTGTTAAAGTTGTTCCAAGATCCAAGAGATCAAGAAGATAGTTGTTTTGTATAATCATCTAAAGAAAAATGAACAAGTTATTGTATTATAAAAATAAAATCTATTTTGTACTTATTTGATTATTTGATTATCAAATGAAAAACCGCGTATTTAAAATTATCACGAGTTACGTAATAATTGCGCTTGTGATTATGTCATCAAATAAAAAGAAAATTAAATTTTGGTAAAAAAAATTAAGCGTATAAACAAAAAAGAAGTATTTTGATCTAGTTTTAAAGGAGTTGACTAAGAAAGAAGAAGGAGTTATCTTTTGAAAGGATAGATTTACTATAGTCATCATGTTAAGAATATCGAATATATACCAAAGACCAGTTTTCGCTATACTTAGACAAACAAGAGCTAATTCAAGTTTTATTCAACAACCAAAACCATTAAATACTATAGATAAACGTTCTCCATCACAAATTGCAAATTCATCAACTTTAGATATCGAAGTTCCACAAAATAAAGCACCTGTTAAACCAAAAAAGAAAAGACCTCTACTTTCAGACTCTAAATATGAACAACAAGGTTATCAATTACCTTCATATGCTAAAAACATTGGTGAATGGGTTATTAAATTATTAATGATTGATATGGATAAAGTTAGAGCTGGTCCAATTGCAGGTTCTGTTTATTATGCAGAATGTAAAAGACAAGGTTTACAATTTGAAGATGAACCATTATCAGATACTGCATATTTTTTCTATGAAGATATTAAATTACCTAAAACTTTTTCTCAATGGTTTCAAATCACTGCATTACATCAATGGATGCTTTCAGTTAGAATGAGAGCTATGCCTTTTAAATATGGTCGTAATTATCAACAAAAATTAGTTGATAGATTCTTTAGAGATATGCAATTAAGATTAGCTGATGAAATGAATGTTAATTCAAGTAGAATATCGGATCAATATTTAAAAGATTATAATTCTCAATTAAGAGGTTTAGTTTGTTCATATGATGAAGCTTTCGCTACAGATGATATTACATTAGCTCAAGCATTATGGAGAAATTTATTTAATGCACAAAAAAATGTTGATATAACACATTTAGAAGCTATGGTTAAATATGTTAGAGGTCAATTATATGTTTTATCTAAAATGTCTGATAGAGATTTTGCATTTGGTAAATTTAAATTTGTTTCACCAAATGAATTAATCTTGAAATTTACTCCAGAACAAGAAGCTGAAATGTTAAAAAGAGCTAATGAAGAATATAATTTTGAAATTAATGGTAAAAAACCAATTCCAAGTGAAAAAAGTAAATTATCTTATGAAAATTAGTATATATTTATGAGGAGTATAGTATAGTGTGTTTGTCTGTGGTTTTGTATATAAAGTTTTATGATATTCGATTTATTTAATAAATAGCTAAAGTTAATATGGTTTTTATTCATGTAGATTATATACACAGTTTCAAACTGATGAAATAACAACATTCCAATTTTCTGGTTTATTTTCAATTGTAACTTTATTCAATTGATTTAAAAATTCAGAAATAAATGAGCCAGTACCTTCATTTTCAACTTTTTTACCAGCAATACCACCAGCTTGATTGAAAAGAGCCACTGCAGTAACAACAGCTAAAAATGGGTCATTTCTATTTGCAGTAATATATGCAGATATAGCACTACCTAATGAACAACCAGAACCTGTAATACCACCCATTAATTTATGACCACCTTTTATAGTAACAACTCTTTGTTTAACATCTGATGGGATTTTATATTCACCTGATAACCAACCATCAACAATTATATCTTTTTCACCAGTGACAACAACTATAGATCTTGTACTTATAGCTAATTTTTTAGCAGCTTCAATAACAACATCTTGTTTTTCCTTACCAACATTATCAACACCTTTCATTAATTTATCAATACCTGCTGTAGTGAATATTTCACCTTCATTACCCTTTATAACTGTTAAATAACCTAAATTCAAAATTCTTTTAACTAAATCTTTTCTAAATTTTGAAGCACCAGCTCCCACAGGATCAAATATAACAGGATTACCATTCTTGTTATAACTTGATACAGCTTTTAAATAAGTATCAATCTCAGATTCTCTTGGTGTACCAATGTTCAATAATAATGCAGCATTTGGGAATTTGGAAAAATCTTCAAAATCTTCAACTTCTTCAGACATTACTGGAGATGCACCAATTGCTAATGCTACATTTGCACTAAATGTCTTTACCACATTATTTGTAATATGATGAATCATTGGTTTTATATCAATAACATTTTGAATGATCTGGGTGGAAGGTTTTATATAATCTATTGGATATTGATTATTGGTAATGTATAAGTCCCTAGTACTTGAATGAATCAATTCACTTAATTTTTTAGTTGCACCTGCAGCATCTTTATTAGCCATGATATTCGATACAACAGCAACACCATCCAATGATCTTCCAGGGATAGCACTTGTATACAATACTCTTTGAACATTAGTATCATTAATACCACCAATCCCTACGGTTCTGACATGATCACCACCTTCATCTCTTAAAACTTTCAATACACCACGAACACCTAATGGACCAAATGGTAATTTCTTCATATTCTTCTTTGTATTAGTTTCAAACATTGGACCAACACCAATATAATCAACAACACCTTCTTCAATTACTTCTCTAGCTTCAAAAGCAAAACCAACACTAACACCAATGATTTTATCAGGTCCAAGTAATTTTCTAACTAATTTTGCAGGCATATCATCTTGACCAACATGAACACCTTCACAATTAATAGCCAATGCAATATCAACACGATCATTTATAATCAAAGGGATCCCTGCTTTTCGAGTCAATTCATGAACAGCTTGAGCTCTTTTGATGAATTCTCTTGTATCAATCTCTTTTTCACGTAATTGAACAATGGTGACTCCATTATCAATTGCTGCTTGTACTTGACCTAGGAAATCATACCCTTCAGGGACCATTTCCGCATTGGTCACAAGATAGAGCGAGTAATCAACGTTTTGTGTCATTCTGGTAATATACTGATTAAAACTTGATTGAACAATGAAAATATCACCAAAAATCAAAGAAATCCATCAGTTTTTATACAATTTCAATATTCTTTTATACTCGTTAACAATAAAACACCGGTGTTGCGCAAATCAAAACTTTATAGATTTCTAAAAGCATAAAAATTTAAAACAAAAACATCACCAAACTATGGAAAAACCATTGAAAACCTAATTGAAGACTACAATTAGAACTATGAGATTCACTCCAAATATCATCCTCGATGCTCCATCATTCCTTAATCCAGACCATGAAAGAACTCTAAGTCTCAGAGGGAAAAAAGCCCCAATGATTGAAAACTTCACAGTGATTAAAGATGTTTATGAAGCTATAGATCTTACAGATAATGATTTAAGAATATTAGGTAATTTACCTAAATTAACTAGAATAAAAACATTATTGGTGGCAAAGAATAGAATTCAAAATATTCAAGATGATTTTTATACCACAGTACCAAAATTAACAAGTTTAAGTCTTGTTTCTAATAAAATTTTAAATTTTAAGAGTTTATTACCATTGAAAGAATTGAAAAATTTAGAGAATTTATATTTATTAAATAATCCAATCAGCCAAAAGGATAATTATAGATTGAAAATAATATGGTTGTTACCAAGTTTAAAAATCTTAGATTTTAATAAAATTAAAGAATCTGAAAGAACTCAAGCCAAAAATTTATTTGGTGATTCAATAACAAATATAAATCAAATTGATTCAAATTTCTTCAATGATGATATAAACAATAATAACAACAATGAAGATATAGATATAGATCATGATGAAGAACAAGTCCACACCATACTAAAGAAATTAACTGAAGAAGATAGAATTGCTTTAAAAGAAGAATTGAAAACTGCAACTTCTTTAAGACAAATCGATACTATTGAAACTGCTTTAAGAAATGGTTATATAAAACGTGTGTAAAAAAATACAATCATTGGGTCATAACAAGTTAACGTAATACATTCGTTTGACATAGTCTATATATAATTATCTATTTATCCAAGAATATTATTGATTGACATCTTTTTAGTTTCAACATGTTCTTCCTTTTCCTTCTGTTTTTCAGTTTCCTTTTTTTCTTGTTCATTTCCCACTTGTTCAACATCTTCTTTAGCTCCCTCTTTAACTTCTTCCTTAACCTCCTCTTTAGCTTCCTCTTTTACTTCTTTTTCAACATTATCAATCTTTATTGGTTCTTCATTATTCATTATTGATTTAATTGAATGTTTATTAATTTCATCACTCTTAGTAACAACATTCGATGCTAAAACTGATGGATGTTTTAATATTGAATTATCTGAAATTTCATTTCTTATAATCTTACTTGGTGTTGGAGTTGCCAACCCACTATTTGGTTCTAATTGAGATCTAAGAACTGGTGGTGGGGTATTTAAAGTTTGAACTTGATCTATAGATGAATAATTTGATGATGATGAATCATTATTATTTTTAGATAATTTCATCATACTTGGTAATAATTCTTCTTCTTTTGATGGAGGTGGTGGATAATATCTATATTCTGAAACTTTCCCATTTTTAAATGGTAATTGTTGTGGTTGTTGTTGATGTTGAGGTGTTGCTTGAAATTCATAAAATTCTGGTTCATCTGCACCCGCAGGTTTATCAACATGATCATTATAATCAATAATTCCATAATTTTGTCCATATAATTCACCATTTGAAATTTCAACAATTTTTTCATAAACATTTTCATCATTATCTCTTGAATCAATAGTATCATCATCATTCACATCTTTCATTTCAACATCTTGATCATTTTGATCTTTAACATCACAATTATAACATTTTTTACCATTCTTTGTCTTTATCCATTTTAATGTTTTATTGGTACCACATGATTCACAATTTTTAGAATTATTTGAATCTTCATTTAATTCATCTTCATTTTCTTCAATTTTAATTTGTGAATCTTGTAAAATTTTTAATGAATCTTGAAATTCAGCAAATCTACCTTGAACCCCTGTTAATCCATTAAGATTTGGTTTTTTAATATCCTCAATATAAACTTGTAAAGCTGTACCAACATTTGATTGTTTATAACGTTTAACTTCAGTTGTAAATGAAATAAAATCAAAATTTAATGATGTAATTTCATGTCTTTCACAAATAACAATTGGTGTTAATTTCCCAAATATATTACCAATTTTAATACATTTACTATCAGGTTTATTCTCTGTAATAATTTTAAATCCAATATGTGTCTTATTATTTGGTTGTTGTGCTTCTTTTAAAGTAACTGGAATGTTACAAATTTCACAACATTTTGAATTTTTACCTTCTTTATATTTATGTGCAATTGCCTTTTGAATACCAAAAATAGGTTGTAACATACCAGTATCCAATATTTTAACATGAGGATTCATTAATGCACACAACATATGAACCCATTTACCATCATTTGTTCTTTTCAAACCAGCTTTAATAATTTCATCATTATGATAAATTCCACAAAGACAACATTTATAATTTGTTGAAATTAATGGATTTAAAGAATTTGAACATGGATCACAATACCATTTATAACTACCAAATGGATTTTTAACATCATCTGAATCAATACCATAACATTGGGGATGTAAATTAATTCCACATCCATAACAAAATAATGATGTTGAAGGTTCACTATCTTCAAGACAAACTGCACATTTTTTATTATTTGTTATTGGTTTAATTAATTTTGATGAAGATTGAGCAATTAATGGAGATCTTTGATTTGGGAATTCATGAAATTTTAATCTTGAATTATAAATATTTGAAGTTAAATGATAATAACGTTCAGTTATTAATTGTTGTAAATTAACATGTGGATTCTCTGCCACAATCGTAGAAACTAAAATTTCTGGTTTTTCATCTTTAGCTTGTTCTGATTGTTTTTTATTATATTGTCTTTTCTCTTTAATATTTGATTTTTTCTCAGGTGAAGGACTAATAGATTTAGCAGTAGCAGTAGTATTAGTATTTTCCACTTTAGCTTTTTTAACAGGTTCATTAATAGGTGTATGATTATTAGTAGTATTAGTACTAGTATCACTAGCATTAACTGGTTCCACTGAAGGTTGTTTTCTTTTCCTTGAAACATCACCATTATTAGAAACGTACTCAGCTTTTGCTTTTAAAATTAAATTACAATCATCCATTAATTCACTTTCTAATTTTTTTTTCCAACCATAACCACCTTTTTGACCTGTTTTCCTTAAAACTTCATTTGGTTCTTCCCAAATAACTGCGTATCTTCTCCATAATCTTGCACATCTTATACATAATGCAATTATTTCACCTTCTTCTGTAAGAATTTGTGTAGCTGCACCTGGAGATCTAAACCAAATCATTGATTCATTAGTTTTACAATGTTTACATTGAAATTCCCTTTTAGAAGATTTATTAACATCATAAGATGAATCATCAGCTGAATGACCTAAGTCTTGATTTTCATTTTCTTCTTCATTTAAATTTTTCTTAGCTTTTGTCTTTTTACGACCTTCATAATTATCCCAAATTAAATGACCATTTTTAGTTTTTTTCCAAAGATAATAAAATCTAACAATCATTGAAACTGGTTGAGTTTTAACTAATTGAGCAACTGGATATAATTCACTACCAAATTCTTTAACACCATCTTCAAATTTTTTAATTTCTTCATTTGTAAATGTTGGTTCTTTTAAATTTGATCTTGTTATTAATTTATTTAAAGTTTCAGCTTTTGTAAAATCATAATTTGAATCTAATAAATTTTTAAGAATTTTATCCATGAAATTTGGTGTATTTGGTAATAAATCTAATGCTTCAGCAATTGGTGCAGCTTTCTTAATATATTCATCAATCTTATCATTAATTTCATTATCATCAACATCATTAAGATGTTCTGGCATTTTCCATTGTAAAGTTACAGTATCTTCACCACCTCTTTCAATATAACCTTTTGGTCTTTCTTGTAACCATGGAGGGAAATCAGAAGGATCCATATTTTCATATTCTTTAGGTACTTTTAAAGGTTTTAAATCCTCTTCAGGTTCTTCAGATGAAATTTTACCTTGTTTTCTTCTACCATCGATTTTTTTCTTTTTTGAAGATGAAGATGAAGATGATACATTATTTTTTTGATATTGTTCATCTAATTGAGAATTATCATAATATTCCACAATATGATCGTACCAGTCATGAATCCCAGTTAATTGATTCTTAGGACCTAATCTTGAAGCGGCTCTTGGATAAGGACGATCTTGTAAGTCTAAGGCATCTTCTAATTTAGCATGCATACCCAAGTATCTATAACTCCATTCTTCTTGATTTCTTCTTTCTTGTTGATTTAAATCAGAATCATTTCTTAAAAAAACTATAGCAGCTTCTTCATATGATGGTAATTTTTTCTCTATTGAATTATTTGATTGATTGTTGGAATTCTTAACATTGTCATCTTCTTTACTTATCTCAGTATTTGGTAATAATTTTTGACCTTCTAATTTTTTGGTACAATTGATACAAGACCAAGCAAAACCTCTAGCAGGTTTTTTATATAAAGGAGGATCCAAACAAAGCATATGATACATTTCATTACATTCACAACATTGAATTGAATCACTATGATTACACCATTGATTACATTTGGCACAACTTTTTGGTGATTGTAACATATCTTTACTTTTACCTTGTTCCACAAATATATAACCAAATCTTTTCATTAGTGCAGTATGATAATTTTTAGGTAAACTTGTAAGATTTTTTGTAGGTAATACATCATAGAATCTAATCATATATCTATCAAATAATTTATCAAACCAAAATTGATTTGGTATTGTTTTGAAATGTTCAAAATCTTCAATTTCATCTTTATGTTGAACAACACATTTCCCTCTGAAAGATTGTAGCGGACAAGTATCTGAATGCATTGATGCGTATAGTAATCTTGAATCAGTTGAATGTTTTGAAATATCTCTTGCTCTATAATACCAATTAATTTTAAATTTATAACCTTCAGCAGGTTCAATCACTGAATATTTCTTTCGTGTCTTGACTTTCAATTCATTATCATCATTTTCCCCTTTGATTTCCTCCTGACTCTGTATCTGATTTTGTTTATTTTTAACAAATCCCATAATACGACCAACATAATAAGGTTCACCAGGAGGCTCACAAATCAAATAAATATTATCATCTTTAAACAATTTAAAACCATTTGATAATTGTAATTCAATACCATCTTTAACAACAGCACCTTGTAAATCCAAAATATGAGAAAAGAAAGGATCTTTAATTTTAGGTTGATAATTCATTGGGAATCCACCATCATTTATTTCATCACCGTTTTGTATAGGAGTATCAGCTCTTGTAGTGGTACCTGAACCAGCACTTGAAGTTCCCTGTTGATTCTTACGCACATATTTTCTCTTTTGTCCTTGTTGTTTCCCTGAACCATTAGATCCACTAGAATCAGGAATTTCTGTTGAAGTTTCTCTTTGGTCTTTAAGAGAAGAATCGGAACCAGTGGGTAGATCGAATTCATAATCTTTCTTTTCAGTGTAGTCCACTTTAGCTGTTCTTCTCTTTGGTCTAGAACCATTTGGTGTGAGTTGAAGATCATCCATTGTTGTGTCCTTGGAAGAGGCCATTATGATTTAATTGCAAAATACCGCTCAACTTCTTTAGCTATATTAATACTAATTAATCAATGGGAAAGATGCAATTTTGATGCGTTTTTTCTCTAGTTTTTTTAATGATTTGATGAATATTTTGATGCGCTGAATGACTATGGATGATAAAATATCTAATAAGACACAATTTGGATCTTTAACTCATTAAATTCAATGATTTAACTGTCAATAATATTGTTTTCCAAAATGAAAAAGTAGTTTTCTTAAAATTGATTTTTTTGGTTTTTTGGGTTTTTGGTTTTTTGGGCCTTTCATTTGATTTTAATATAAGCAAGAAAATCGTTACGGGACGCAGTGCAATACAAAACTTTTTAAATTATTTATATTCAATTATACAAATGTCCATGATTGTATGTGATATATATAGAGTCGGTCTATGATATTTTGATTAATTGTATGTCGTGGGCTATAGATAGCCTTTTTTGTCCCAGATTCAGAGACCATTTAGATCAATAGTTAGTTATGTTTCAAATATGTTTATATAAACTTATATAATAGTACTAATGATTTGTTGTTCATTTCTTCATAAAATAAATTAAAATAGCCATCATGAATATCTTCTTTTAGTCTTAAGCAGAGAAAAAAAAAAGACACAAGTGCAAAAAAAAAACACAGAAAAAACACGGGAAAAATAGGATAGTAAAAATTGAAGCCATATTAAAATGAGTAAATTAAATTATTAATAATTCAAATTCCCATTAAAATTATTATTATTATAAGGTCTTCTATTACCACCTCCATTATTCCCATAATGATTCCCATAATTTTGATAACGATCATTTGAATATTTTCGTTGTTTCCTTTGTAATCCTCCACTTTGATCTAAATTTGATAAATTTGATATATGAGAATTATTAAAATTTTTATCAGTTGGATAATATTTAGGTAATCCATTTCCATTTATATCTTGTTGTCCTGAAACTTGTGCTTGTTGATCTAATTCATTTGGATTTGGATATGGTCTTTTAGATGGGATTTGTTGGGTTTGTTGTTGTTCTAATTCTTGTTGTTTACGATTTGGTGGTATTGGGATATGATTTGAATTTGGATTTGGATTAGGATTTGGATTTGGAATTGTGTTTGGAATTGTGTTTGGTTTTGGATTTGAATTGAAATCATCTTGATATCCACCTGTATATCCATTAAAACTATTTGAATTCCCCCAATTACCTGCACCACCTCCGTTATTATTATTTCCATAATTTCCATAATTTCTTGATCTATATTGTTGATTATTTGAATTTCTTGATCTATAATCATGATACCCACCTTGGTTTCCACCATAGTTACCATAATTATTATGATGATTAAAATTATTATTATTATTATTGTTATGATTATGACTATTATTGTTAAAAGGTACAGGAGGTGGAGTTTCTAAATCTTGTGGATGTGCAGATCTTTGTTGTCTATTATCTTTAATGAAATTTGATCTTGGTCTTGTTAATTGTGGATTTATATGTTGATTTATTTGTTGAGTAATTGAGTTTGATGTAATTGGACCTGCCACTGGACCTGTTGGACCTGGTGGAATAGGACCTGATTGAATAGATCCTGCAGATAATGGAGGTTTTATTGGCAGTGCTTTATTTTGTGGTATTATGGATGATGATGGTGGTGGTCTTCTACTTAATGGATTTGTTGGTTTTTGTAATTGTTGTTGTTGTTGTTGATTTTTTTGTAATTCTTTAAATTTTGGTATATCAGCTTCATGACATTCATTAAAATTAATATCAACAGTATCAGTTGGTAATGGATTTGTATGGAAGTATGGATGATCTAATGCACCAACCCCGGTAATTCTTGACATTGGATATAGAGTTAACATTTCTTTTAATAATTCAATACCTTCAGGTAACATTAAATTTTTAAATCTTTTAAAAATATTTGGTTCATAATTTTTTAAAATAATTTTTTTTTCATTAATTTTATCCATATTTAAATTTGGATAATTTTCTAAATTTGCATCACCAACTAATTGGAAAATATCATAAACTTGTTGTAAATCAGATTTACCTGGTAATATTGGTTTTCTTTCATATAATTCACCAAATACACAACCAATCCCCCAAATATCAACAGCTGTAGTATAATTTCTATCACCAAATAAAACTTCAGGAGCTCTATACCATCTTGTCATAACAACTTCAGTTAAAGGTTGATTACCACCACCTGGTAAAGCTTTAGTTGGAATTGGACCAATATAATCTCTTGCAAGACCAAAATCTGCAATTTTAACTATACCATTAACATCAATCAAGATATTTGAAGCCTTTATATCTCTATGAAGGAAATTTTTGGAATGAATAAAATTTATACCTTTTAATAATTGTTTCATTATAGATTTTATATCAGTTTCTTTTAATCTAATATCAGGATTTCCTAATATCCCAGTTAAATCAAATGACATATAAGGGAAAACCATGAAAAAATCTTTTCGTATTTTATGATCAATTCTATTTGGATCATAATTTTCATAGTCATCATTTGGAGCAGGTCTATCATGAATCATATCTAGTAATTCAATGATATTTTCAGAAGAATTTGAATCATTGTTATTATTATTAGATTCTTGTAATTCTTTTAATATAGTAATTTCTCTGAAAGCAGTAATTGGGAAACCATCAGACTTTGAATGTCTAATGATTCTTTTAATGGCAACATAGTGGTTTTTGGTACGATCTTGACCTTTGAAAACAACACCAAAAGTACCTTTCCCTAATTGTTTTAATATTTTATACTGGTTTAATTTAACGACACCATAATATCTTTTGGTTTTAGTGAATTGGAATTCTTTTGATCTTGGTGGAGCAGGAGAGGATCTATGTGATAGTGGAGTAGAGCTTGGAGAATATATGTTTGGAGTGGCAAGATGTGATTTTGGTGGTAATGGTTGTTGTAATTGTTGTTGTTGGTTATCTAGACTCATAATGACTTTAATTTGCCTGGCTTTTTTTCTTGTTATTTTTCTCAATATCAGCAAACAAATAAGATAAGGAATCAAATAGAAAAAGAGGTAGAATTTGGATTAAATAAATGAAATAAACCCTATAGAACACCACGCCAGTTGATTTCAGTTAGAAAAAGACCGCTGATTTTCCAACTTGTCTCTATTATTATTCACTGTTTTTACTTGTTGTTAATTTCAATTTACTCAGAAAATCGCGACTTCTCAAAAAATAATTTGGAAAGGGCGGGTAAATTTTGTGGAAATCGCGGGCGATTATAACAACAATAATTAATACCCATCATTTTGATTCAAATCAATTTCAATTTGGTTTGGAAAGGAATCGTGATAGTATGATTATTATCATGAGTTTATCATATGTTCATAGTGAGGGTATTGCACCATGAATCAATTTTAAATCAGCAGTCCGTTGAATGAATGTTAAATTAATAATTTATAAATATGAGCAAAGCTGAATTTGGTATGATTTTTGATAGTTGGACAATTCATCTCTTGAAACTTTTATTGAAGGATCGAAGTTACAAAACATTCAATTCTTATTTCACATAATGTTGGCTATTAGTAGATTGTCTCATCAAAATTAGGTAAAACCTGATGGACTTTCAAGTTTGCTCCGAGATTGATTGGTATTATCAATTTGAGTGTCTACATGTTCATAGGTTTATTGGTTTGAATATTGTTTCTCAAGATACAATAATGAAAGAAATACAAGTGGTACTGATGGGGCTCTATCTTATGTGTCATTATCTTTTGAAATTGCTGTATAAGGTGGTTAATCATCTACCATAGATGATGCTCATGTCAAGGTTTTGAAAAGTTAAACTTCAAAGAAATTATGAGATTCATTGATTTCAAAAGATCAAATAACAAAAAATACTTAATGGTGATATTGATAGATCTCGTGCTTTCAAAGCTATTTCTTTAACACTCGTGCTGGTTCCAGAAGTTATCAAGTGTTTTCTATCAGAAATGTGATCTGGTTATAATGATTTGGGGCGTGATAATTCAAATAGTGTTGGTTTAAGAACGTTCAACTCCAGAGAATGTTCAAGTATACTCTTAGAATGAATGATATCAGCTGATTCTAAAGTCTGATTGGGCTTGAAATTTTCCTTGTTGTATTTTTGTTGGTCTACAATTTAAGTAATTTCATAAAAGTATATTGAATTAACATATCATATTTAAATAAGCCCCAGCAAGATATCTCAACAATTGTGTCAAGAAGTTCCACCATAATCAAACTAAATTAGCAAGGTATATTCCCAACAATTTTGTTAAGAAATCCCATCATCATCAACCAATAAAAAAAATATATTAATATAGCAAAACCTGAACTTCTATATTAGCAATACCAAATGAATACCATGGCTAGACAATTATGAAGTATGGTTATCAAAGATAAGTTTAAAAGCAAATCAAGATCAAAAGACCAGATCAAAGATTCAAATGAATTTGAAAGTATAAAAGAAAATAAAATAAAAGATTCAAACTGAAGTAAAAATCAAAAAAAAAGAAGACAAAAGATAAATTATAAAGATTCAATTACATTTTAATATTGAAATCATTGAAGCTTATCAATCTTTACTAGGCATTTCACCATCTTTTGAATATTTCTGAATGATTTCTTCGAGACAGCTTTTAACAGCCGTATAATCCAATTTCAAACTGGCAAGATCAACATCTTTCAAAGATTTATTAGCAGCATCAGAACAAATCTGTTCTTTTTTCCTTTTGGAAATTCTTGGTAAACTAGCAAATTTTCTGAAGGTCCCTAATTTCTTGTCTTTGTAAGGAAACACAAAGGAATCTATTGTCTTTATTTTTTCAAAAAATACCTCCTTTGCTTTAGACATTTCTTTTGATATTTTTTCCCGCTTAATGGCATTATTATTATCAACAACCTCAATATCACCATTGGAATCATCATGATTAGATCTAATATCATTGTCAACAACCTCAACATCACCATTGGTATCATCATGATTAGATCTAATATCATTGTCAACAACCTCAACATTACCATTGGTATCATCATCAATTTGATCATTATCATTCACAGCATGACCATTCTTATCATCATTAATTTGATCATCATCATTGTGATTGTTATTCCCAAAAATACCATTGTTGTCATCAATTTGATTAATATTATTAATACGTTTTTCATAATTTCCAATTTTTTGCTTTTGCACATCATTAATTTCATGATTTCTTTCTCTTAAATCTTCTTTGAGCTGTTGAAGTTCTTGAATTGAGTAAAAATTGCTTGGTTCAGATGATGCTTGCAATCTTCTGATCTCATTGATTGCTTCGTTATTAATTGCTATGATGCCATCTGTTCTTGAAATTGTTCTTTCAAGAGATGAAGCACTAGAATTTGAATTTTGTTGGTTAACTTCAGCATCTTCTAGATCATGATCAACATTTCTGGAACGACGTGACCTAAAACCATCAAATATTCTGTTAACACCTGAATGTAGATGGGAACTGTTTGCAAACCAGTTCCTTCCTCTTTCGATCAAACTTCTTGTAGTAGAAACTGCAATAGAAATTGGTGAATTACTGGCATTGGTTTGATCTGTATTGACTGATCTAATAGTATTAAGGTTTCCTGGCATGATGATCTTTGAATATATCTGATGAGAATAACAAGTCAATGATTTTAGATGAAAGCTTGATCTTTATCACAATTTAATAATTCAATATTTGCCACTAGTTATTCAAACAACCGCCAGAATTAATATAGATCAACCAGATTTGGGATCTGGGGTCTGGGCGCTTGTCTTAATCAGGGGCGACAATAACCGTCGGATATATACGCTGACGGTTTACCTATATAAGTTGTGTCTAGCTAATAAATTATGAACTGAAATAAAGACAGTGTTGATGTTTTATGCTGTACTATAGTATTTGGTACATGAAATAGCTATTTAATAGATGTAATTTCAACATTGATGAGCTTACATATATGCAGGATTTATATTATGTTGTATATGCGACCTACTATTTGTGTATATACTGGTCTATATATGAGACGCGGAGATTTGTATTAAGCAAGTCAATCACATATCTAGTTCAAGAACTCGTATATATTAATTTATTTTATATATAAATGATGTGCAGCTAGCTTTGACGTAGTAGCAGTTTGTATAAAAATTGATATTGCCCATCATGATCAGGTATATTTACTTGTTTTCGCCCTCATCCTTGAAGCCGTTGATAAGTATATTATAAGGTTTGAACCTCGTAATCCCAAAATCATCCATCTCTTCAGCGGTTAAATCACTATCATTTTGTCCATTAGGAACACGTGAGATTCCTGTAAGCAACAATGATGTATCTCTAGCTTTGTTGAAATTTTTTGATGAAAATACATTCAGGAATCCAGATAAGAAGTCTAAGGTATCTGATTTTGTAAAGAATTCTCTACTACCAATTTCCATTTTCTCAGCACCTTTATGATATGCAGCACTTTTCTGTTCGTATGTAAGCATCGGTAAATTTAAGTTCCATTTCCTAATGGAATCATTAGCTTTAAGAGTGTTGACCTCATTAGTATTGAATAAGTTTCTTCTATTTGAATATTCTTTCAATTCGTCGAAATAAAATGCAATATATAAGAATTCTTCATAGAATTCGTTTTCAGGTAAAAGCTTTCTAACGGCAAATTCTTCGAAAGATTCCTCTTCATATCCACAACATTCACCTCCATCAAAAGGTTTATCTTCTTCAATAAATTCGTTATATCTAGGAGCAAATGCAAATCCATCAAATTGTTCACCGTCGAATTTCACCAAGTTCAAACTATCAACCTTGGATAAACTTTGCAATACTTCACCAAACTTGTTGGAAGGTGCAATTAGACTATTCAACCCATCAAGAACAAGCACATTGCCAGAAATTTCCTTTATAAAATTGCGTAGAACTGATTCTTCATTCATGAGAACATTCTCATAAAACTGCTTAACTTTGTTGAATTCTCTAATAATTCTCGTCTCTGTATCAATCTGTAAATCATACTCATTTGTAACCTTTGATCTAAGTATTAAGTTTTTCTTTCCTTCATGAACTATATCCAAGAACTCGTAGTCATAATCAGATGAGTTCTCATACAACTCATAAATTTTATATGAATTTGATGCCTGGAAGGGGTAAGTACTACCGTGTTTTAAGTAATGTGAATATTTTTGTTTGAGGGGATCTAATGAGCTGAGAACAACATCTAAATGAATTGATTTGTAAACAATAGGAGCAAAAGTATTACAAAGTTCCCGATTGACCCTAACAAGGTTGGCGGGATCAACGCCATAATCAACTATTATACCCCATATCTCAATTGGAAATATTGATTTGAAATTTGTAACTGGTTTTTTTACCATCTTATCGCTTCCAGAATTGAAGAGTTTTTTAAACAATGGAATTTTATCAAACACATTGAGCTTTTTGAAATTGGATGAAGCAATATTTGAAATCTTGGAGCTCAAATTAGAAAACTTTTTTATGGTATTGAATCGTAAAAGATAACCAAACATCTTAAATTTCCAAACGAAAAGTCTATTTATCTTGAATCTGATGTAATATATATAATAACCAGCCAAACTTTCGAAGATATCTCGCTCATTGGGTTTTGTATCCATACCCGAAGGAAGAATCCAACGTTTCAATGCATTATTCAACTTTTCAGCTGAAACGATTTTTAGCAAAAGCCTAACAACTTTTCCGATGAGTTTTGGAACATTTTGATCTAGCAATTCTTGGTAAAAATTTTCACGTTCATGTTCAATAGCTTCAATTTCTGATAAAACTGACGACATTGTATATAATATTGTAAATTATTAATTGAAAACTTATAATTTTGAAATTAGAATTGAATGTATTGAGGTTATGTCTCGTTATATAATATTGGAGGTTTTGTATTTTGGTTGACCATCTGGAAAGTGAAAATTAGAAAATAAGAATCAAGGATATATCCCATTTCTTATCCATTTCTGTTGAGAACTTATCTTCGAAAAGAAAGGAAGTTCAATTAATAAATTGAGCTTGAAAATGAGGTACGCATAATTTGTGAGTATTAATTGTATCCCAAAAGGGAATGGTTACACAGCCCGTGAACGATAAAAGGAGCATAATCAATGAGAACAAATAATCCTGGGAGTTCTAGAGGGAGTAATAGCACATCTCTTAACTCACCAAAGACTTCAAAATCACTAAGTAACCAGCTATCCACTCCAAAACCCACACCCATTTCAACTCAATTGAATTAATTCACATTATACCACTGACTAATCAATTACATAATCCACATTCTTTTTTCTTTCGCGAATTGTTTTTTCCAAATTTTCTTCCAAAGTTCAATTTTCGCGAAGTATAAACTCAATTAAAAAAAAAAACAAAAAAAGTAAACAAGATTTTGAAAAGGCATTACGTATCAATTAATTTTGAAAGGTATTGTCATATTGTCATAGTTTGATAATCAATTAGCTGTTTCAATTGATTAGTGTTTTGTCTTTTTGCAATTGAAGAGTTTGGTTTAATTGTTGGTTTTTGGCGGTGTGTGCCTTCTCTTTGTTATTTAATTGTGCTTATCTTGTGTTTTGTTTTAGTTCATATTAGACGTTCCCATTGAATAAAGATTACATCATGTTAATTCTTGAAGAAAGAGATATGCCAGAAATACCTGGTGAACTAATGCCAGATCATATAGCTCATGAATTGAAGAATCAAGTTGCAAGATTATTAAATAGAAGAAAATTAGAATTTCCAGGATCTCAACCAATTAGTTTTGAATCAAATCATATTACTGAAAATTTAATTAATCGTGAATATTTTGTTTGTGAAAAATCAGATGGTTTAAGATGTTTAATGCTTTGTATATTGGACCCTCTGGGTGATGAAGCTGTTTTCCTAATCACAAGAGAAAATCAATATTTTAGAATACCAAATTTCCATTTCCCATTACCTGAAGATGAAAATAGTTGTCATAATGGTACTTTAATAGATGGTGAATTAGTAATATCTAAAAATCCAAATGGTATAAAAGAATTAAGATATTTCATGTTTGATTGTTTAACATTAAATGGTCAAAATATTGTTATGAAACCTTTACCCAAAAGATTAGGTTATTTAGGTGAAAATTTTTATAAACCATATTTCCATTTAAGATCAAAACATCCAAAAGAATGTGAATCATTTCCTTTTAAATTATCATTGAAAAATATGCAACCAGCTTTTAAATTACCTCAAGTTTTTGAAAGTTTAAAACATTTAGGTCATGTATCTGATGGATTAATTTTTACAAGTTGTGAAACCCCATATGTATATGGTACAGATCCAACTTTATTAAAATGGAAACCAAGTGAAGAAAATACAGTTGATTTTAGATTGCATTTAAATATTCCAATGTATACAGATGAAGACCTTGATGAAAGAGATCCATATCGTTCATATCCAAATTATGAAGTTAAACCAAATTTTGAATTAATGATTTGGGAAGGTAAACAGTCTTATTCAAATTTTGCAGAATTAATTATATCAGATGAAGAATGGGAAAATTTAAAAAATTTAAATCAACCATTAGAAGAAAGAGTTGTTGAATGTAATAAAGATAAACAAGATAATTGGAATTTATTAAGATTTAGAGATGATAAATTAAATGGGAATCATATATCAATTGTGGAAAAAGTTTTAAAAAGTATAAAAGATGGTGTAACAAAAGAGGAATTGATTGCAAATGCTGCAAATATTGAACATGCTTCAAAACAACGAGAATTTAATAGAAAATCAAGACAAGGAAGTTTCCAAAGACCTCCTTCATCATCACAACCCCAACAACGTCCACCACCACAGCAGCAGAATCACAATCATAATAACCACCATGATGAAGAATATCAACAAAGGAAAAGACCATCAGATGAAGATGATCAATTACCAACTTATGAAGATGAAGAAGATTCTGATGATAACGAAGAACATGAAAATAAAAAACAAAAAGTATAAACTATGTATTATAACCAATATCCTTTAAATCATGATTAAAAATGTATTATAAGCGTGCCTTTACATCTACAATATGACTCTTTTCATATACACATGTTACCATATTATTTATTTATATATACATGATCAAAACAACCTTTTTTTTAATGTAAGAATAAAATCGATTTAATCAATTCACCAGGATTACCATTCCCACTCAAGATATATTTTTGATTTATAATTGAATCAACAGAATTTGATTTCAATTCATTATTATTAAAGATTTTAGCATCAATAAATTTTTTAACAATTGATGAAACATTTTCTTTAGAAAATCTTGACATATCAAATGATTCAACACCTTTTAATTTTGATGCAACTTCATGATCATATACGGTGTTTTTAGTATATGGATCCACTGTAGCAAGACCTAAACCTGCATATAAAGTTGGTGATGGTTTATCATCAGTTGAAGTCACTAAAATAACACCACCTTTTTGGAAATTTTTAGAACCTTGAGCAAAATCTAAAATTAATGAAGATAATTGAAATTTTGAAACATGAATTTTACTATTATTAACATCACGATACTCGGTTCTTGGATTTGATGTAATTGCAGAAAAATTATCAACAGTTAAAAAAACTGGAATTTCAGATTGTTTAGATAATTCATTAATGATTGCTTCTAATTGTTTACCTCTTTGTCTTGGTGTAACACGTAAATTTGTTAATTCAAATAATGTATCTCTTTTAGGGGTAGCTTTTAAAATTGATTTATATCTTGTATTACCTTCAAATGAATATTCTGATTGAATTGGAATTTTTTTTAAAATTTCTTGATTTATTGTTCTAATTTTATGTAAAAATGATTTTAAATACATTGGTTGAATATAAGTATTTAAATTTTTATCAAAATAATAATCATTACGACCATTAACTAATTGAGTTGCATATGGAATTGGTAAAATTATTGAATTACCTTGATCTGAAATTAATGCTTGAGTTTGACCTAATAAAGTTGATTTACCAATACCATTTTCACCCAAAATACATATTCTATTATCTTTGGAACTTGATTCTATGGAATTTTCCACAAATTTTGACATTTTTAAAGTATCTTTAGTAACAAGCGTTATTGGAGTCTTGAATAATTCTCTATATTGATTATGTTTAAAATTACCTGCAATAATTAATTTCTTCATATGTAATTGACTATATTTAACCACGGTGTTTTCCTTAGTTGATTTCTTCAAGATATCAACACCATTTAATTCATCAGCTTTTAAATCTAATTTTTGTTCTGATACATATTCATGGAAAAATTTACCAACACCTGAAGTCTTTTTAGATTGACCTCCACCAACTTTTTTATACCCATGAACAGCCTTCTTCTTAACTGGAGCAGCTGCTTTGGCACTAAGAACAGCAGCAGAATGGAACCCTCTAACAGAAGTGAAATGAACAGACCTTAGCATAGTTATTGACCCTAATAAATTACCAAAAAGATGTCAAATCTGTGTCTTTAATTATCAAATCAACTTTTCATTTTTTTGTCCATACAAAAATCTTGAAAAAAAAATATCAACAATTAAAAAATTCGCGAAAATAAATTAAGTATAAAAGCTGAATTTGCGGGTAAATTTGGAACTTTAATACACTAGATAATGGGTTTATTTGGGTTTAAACGATGGGTTTACCAGTTGGATGATGGTTTTAATGGGTTTGGGAGGTATGTTTATGGGTAATTACCCTTTTGAAGCGTGGTTTGGGGACTTAAACTTGGGGATTTGTGCACAGTGTATTAGCTCATGGGTATAATTGATTAAGGAATTTTATATTAATTGAATCAAATTTGACTAAAGACTTTATATAAATCAACATGGCTCGAGGAAGGACAATAATTGGACCTGATTGTCATACATCTACATCTCATCTTCTAAAAAAACCATAATCTATTGTACAAACTCTAAACATACACACACACATCTTACTCTTCAATATTTGATTCTTCCTTTTCATTTGGTAATTTAACTTCTTCCAATTGTTTCTTATCCAATTTTGTAATACCCCTTGCAGTTAAATAATCAAAAGTTTGATCTTCAGAATTATAAGTATCAATAAAATTAAAAAAAGCATTAAAAACATTTTCTTTAACTTCTTCAGCATAAATTTTATCATAAATATGTTTTTTTTTAAATTCATCCATTTCTTTTTGATAATTATTAAAATTTATTTCCTTATATCCAAAATCTTGTAATTTTTTATTATATCCATCATAAACTGGTTGTTCTAATAATAAACCAAGGGCAGGAGCCTTTGGGATATTAATTTTTTGATCTTCAAAACATTCATTAATTCTTGTTAATGGACAACCAGTTCTAACAACTAATGAAGCCATTGCAATCATTTTTCTAATTTGATGTAACATAAATGATTGACCATGGATCTTGATAGAACACCATTCTGTATTATCAATAACAAAAGGATCACTAACTGTGATGTTTTTCATATATCTTGAAGAACTTGGATCTTTGAAAGTTTTCCCCAAGGTGAAATTATGGAAATTATGATGACCTGTATAGACATTCATTGCATCTCTCATTAATTGTAATTTTTCATTAGAAATTCTGAAAGATCTTTTCAAGTTATTTTCCACAGCTTTGAATTTTCTAATTAATTGAATAATTTCATCATTTTCATTAAATTCATCTCTTGGAACTGGTTTAAATTCAGAAATTCTTTTGAGTTCATCTTCAGTGAACCCAGCATCATCAACAGCCTTGTTATAAGATTCCCAAAATTTAACAGATTCAGGATCTTCTCTAGTAATACCAGGATTTAATTCATTTTGTTTTGCAATTTTCAAACCTAATGAAGATGTAGGTTTTGGACCAATTAATGAATAAGTTGGAATCAAATATTCATAAACACGACTCCCACACATTTTACGACAATCAAAACTTTTATTAGTTCTTTCCATTCCCCAAACTCTAATTTGATCAGGTAAATTATCATTAATCTTAGTTAAAACATCAGGATCTTCCAAGATCAATTTTAAACTAATTAAATTCCCCGCAGCATGAACACCTTTATCAGTTCTTGCAGCTCTCATAAAACTAACTTTCTTAGGATCATCAACATTATATTGAGAAATAGCACCTGCTTTAATAAATGCATCAAATAAATCACCTTCAATAGTTTTTTGTGGTGGGTTTACTTGCATACCATGATATCCAGTACCACAATAACCAATCATAACAGCAACTTTCTTCTTAGGTTTTCTTTCAATTGGATTCCCTTCAGAATCTAATAATTTTTCTCTTGGTTCCCATGCCCTTCTTTGACGACTAGACTGTTGTTAGTATTATATACCTATTTTATAAGACATAAGACCACATACCTACCATTCTTCATCATCCCTTGACCTTTTGGCCTTTCTACCTTCTGGTGTTTCCATATCAGCTTTTCTAACTTTTGTCCATTTGGCACGTTGACCTCTCTTGTAAACGTCTTCATTAGGTTCATCATCATTTGAAACATTTTTTAAATTAGTATTATCTTGTGCTTTTGATTCTTCCACTTGTTGTGGATGTTGTTGTTCTGGTTGTTGATTGTTGATACTTTCACTCATGATCAGACTACGTTCACTATAATAATATAATGATCTATAAGTCTTATTTAAATCAGTGAGTATAATTGTTCTTCTTTTTTCTTATATAAATTAAATTTTTCATACAAAAAAAAAATTTCAAGGAAATCAAAATTAAAATTACATAAGCGATGAGATGAAAATTTTATGGGTATTAAATAAACATATAAAGAAACAAATTGATAACTAATAGACCATAAGACCACAAGAACCACTAGGAATCAATATGAGACCATTAACAGAAGAAGAAACAAAAGTTGTTTTTGAAAAACTAGCAAACTACATAGGTCGTAACATCGCCTATTTAGTTGATAATAAAGAAGATCCACATATTTTCAGATTACAAAAAGATCGAGTTTATTATATATCAGATAAAATTGCTAAATTTGCAACATCAGTCTCTAGAGTTAACTTGATGTCTGTAGGGATTTGTATGGGGAAATTCACCAAAACTGGGAAATTTAAATTACATGTCACATCATTATCCATATTATCCAAGTATGCAAAGTATAAAATTTGGATTAAACAAAATGGTGAAATGCCATTTTTATATGGTAATCATGTCCTTAAAGCACATATTGGTAGAATGTCTGATGATATTCCGGAACATGCTGGTGTTATTGTTTATTCAATGAGTGATGTTCCTTTAGGGTTTGGTGTTAGTGCTAAGTCAACTGGTGAAGCTAGAAATTTACAACCTACTGCTATTACTGCATTTAGACAAAGTGATATTGGTGAATATTTAAGAGAAGAAGATACATTGTTTACATAAACTTAGGAACTAGGAGGAATTGTACATTAGTTAATATAATTTTACGTTATCATTTGCATATGTAGTATACACTTTATTTACGACCTTTCTTCTTATTCTTCTTAACTTGTACAGGTTTTGAAACTTTATTAAAACTTTCTTCAGTTATATTATCTGCAACACCACCTTGAGTTTGATTCCCTTGTTTCTTTTTACCCTTTGGAGGTTTATAATAACTTCTATCCTTCATTGGTAACCATCTTTCCCCATCTGGTTGTTTTGTTGCATCATATGATTTTGATGGTTTTCTTGATTGTTTTGAACGTTTTTTAATGGTTTTTTTGGTTGTTAGGATTGGTTGTTGTTGGGATAAAGATTCAATACCTTGTTGGATTAAATCGTCAAATGATAATCCTGAAGTTAAATGGTCAATTGGATGTAATTGATTTAAATCTTTTTCAGATTTATTTAAAATTATTGAAATTAAATCATCTGGGTGTATGTTATATAATTTTTCCAATAAATTTTGGGTTTTTTCAGGTTCTTGATTGGAAAAATTTAATGAAATTACCTTGAGGAATTCATATTCATCAATATTCAAATCTTTTGATTTATAAAATTCATAAATTTCATTGAATAACGAAATTTTCTTTTTTTGTGAGCCTAATTTTTCATATAAATTAATTAAAATATTTGATACTGATGGTAAATACTTGTTCTCTGGGTTTAAATTTTCCAATATAGAAACAGCTGAATCAAAATTTTCTAATTCAATATTTAATTGTGCTGAAATTAAAGAAATACCTAAATCTTTAGTATTTATTGCAAATCTATAAGCTTGTTTAGCTTGTGTAATCAAATCATCATGATCAAGACCTGATTTTGAAAATGATTTTAATGCATGGTTTGTAATATCTTTATGGTTTAGGTCTTTTGATGTTATTGATTGATTTAATTTAAATTTTAACTTGTTGTAATTTTTCCATAATGAAGTTTTTTGGAGTAAGGATAATCTTGAATTTAATTTATTTAAAGAATTTGGAAATTCTAATTCTTTTATAATTAATGCTGGGTTTTCAGTTGATGTTAATGTAATTAAATTATTTTGATAAATCAATGTATTTAAATCATCTGAAATTTTTGAAATATCTATTGATTCTAAAATTTCTTTAGCCTTGATGGTTTCACCTAAGGTTTGATATAAATAAGCTTTTTGTAACAATATTGGGAAAGTTTCATTTAATTGATCATTTAAATCAGTATTAACTTCAATGGCTTTATCTAAAGACAATTCCAACAACTCAAGACTCTTGGTATAATTTTTCAAACCAAATTGTATTAAAGATTCATTGAATACTAAATCATAAGAATCTTGATCATCACTTAATGGTTGTTTATCATTAAATTTATTGAAAATACCAAATTGATACCCATCAGCCAAGATAGCACGTTCATTAACACTTAGGTCTAATAACTCAGGGTCTTCAGAGTCTGTTGACTGGATTAATTGATGATAAGTGGTCAATGCAGTTTCATAATCACCTAATCTATAATAAAATTGAGCTTTTAAATGTAATACACCATTGTTTAATTGATTTGGAGTTAATTTGTTAAATTCTTGATGTAATTCATCATTTAAATTTAGTTTATAAATAACATATAACTTTTCTAATAATAAATCATCACCTTGTTGAGGGAATTCTTTGAAAATACCATAAGCTTTTAAATATTGATCCAAGTTAATAGCTGCCACTATAGATAATCTCATAGCTTTTAAATCATTTGGTGAAGATTTAAGGATTTCATAAGTGGTTTCTAAAACTTCTTTGTGGTTATCTTGTGAAGCATCCACTTCTAATTTATGGAATAGTTGATTGAGTGACATTATTAATAGTCAATAGTATCAATAGTTAATAGTTGATAGTTAATAGTAATGAGTTAATTTTCAATTCATCGACGAAAAAAAACAAAATTAAAAAGTTCGCGAATTTAATGAAAATTTAATTTATTAACAAAACAATTAATACTATCAACAACTAATAACTAATAGATACTATCATCAACCACTATCTTCTACTGACCATTTGATGATGATACGGTCTAATCTCTTGACAATCACAAGACCATTCTCATCTACTGCTATATCACACGCCATCAGATCAAACAGACCAACATTCACCAAGTTCAACAAGGACAAATCATTACAATTACCAAAAAGAACTGGTAGTAAAAAAAGATTACTAGAACAAAAATCATCATCAACTCCAAAACCAAAACATATAAGAGGTAACCACAAGCAACCAAAAGAACCAGAAAAACTAGGATATGGTGAATATTCATCTCTAAAGGAAATCACTCATCAAGATTATCATTATGCTCAAAATTTAATATCCAAAATTGATAATTTTGAAGCTTTGAAATTATTACCATCTGTACGTGATTCCATAGTTTCAAGTATTAAAAACAATACAATCCTAAATAATAAAAACTATGTCTCTCCAAATAAACATGAACAAAAAGAAGACCTAGTTATAAAACCATCACCTATTCAAATCGCTTCAATCAAAACAATGGCTAAACATATTTTAAAACCATCATTATCAACATTCACCATTGCAGCTGAAACTGGTTCTGGTAAAACTTGGGCATATATGGCCCCGTTAATAGATTATTTAAAACATGAAGAATCAAATGGAGATTGGGAAAGAATTCATAATAAAGCCATTATAAGATCTGTTATACTTGTTCCTACACATGAATTAATTGATCAAGTTTATAAATCTGCTCAAGATGTTTATAAAGATTTAGGTCTAAATGTTTTCAAATGGGATAGATCAACTTCTTATCAAGATTTCTCACAAGCATTATCTAAAAGAATTGATATCTTAATAACAACACCTGGTAAGATTAATTCAATTGAAAAAATTAGAAACTTGTCAAATACTCAATATGTCTTTACACGTACTGGATTTTTAGTTATAGATGAAGCTGATACCTTGATGGATGCATCATGGATCCAAGATACTGTTCATTCCATCAAAAAAATGACAAATTTATCAAACCTAGTATTCTGTTCAGCAACGATCCCAAGAGAATTTAATCAAACAATTGATAAAATCTTCCCCAATTCAATACCAATAACAACCCCTTCATTGCATAAACTTCCTAAAACTATAAAATTTCAATTAATAGATGCCCAAGTCTCTCCATATCAAGGATCCAAGATGAAAGCTCTTGCCCAGGCATTATACGCAATCCACAAGGATGGTACAGAACCAGGATATGAAAAAAGATGTATTATATTCATTAATGAAAAAAAACACATTGATAAAATTGCAGAAGAACTTAGACAAGTTTATAATCATGATGTTACAACCTTGACGGGGGAATTAACACCTATAGAACGTTCTGCCAAAATTGGATTGTTTATTAATCCACCAAGAAAATTATCTGAAGTTGAACAACAAGAAACCCAAGAACCAGAGGATCAACAGGATAAAGTTATATCAGATTCAAATATTTCAATAAAACCTAAAAAGAAACAAAATCATGAAGATAATTTAAAAATCTTGATAACTACAGATATCTTATCTCGTGGGTTAAATTTTAGTGCCGTGAGAAATGTTATATTGTATGATGTTCCTAATACTTCTGCAGATTTGATTCATAGATCTGGTAGAACTGGGAGAATGAATCAAAGTGGTAGAGTTTTTTTGATTATTGATAAAAAGGCTAAAAGTTGGGTTAAGAAATTACCAAGTACAATTAGAAATCATGGTTTAATAACATAAACAATGGTACTGGGAGGATTACAAACTTGTATAAATGTAAATAGAATGTATATATAAATGTCATATCATTAAAAGGGGTAGTTCCTATCTCTTCTTTGGCCATAAATTTTTATTCTTCAAAATCCATGGATGATTCTTAACTTCATCTAATGGGAATCTATGTTCAGGATTATATTGTAATAATTTCCTTATTAAATCTGAAGCATCATTACTTATATATGCAGGAATTTTTAAATCAACTTTTGCAATTCTTTTATATGTTAAATCTCTAAATTCTTCTTCAAAAGGTGGTGTCCCCACTAATAATTCAAAACACAATACTCCCAAAGCCCATGAATCAACTCTAGAATCATGATCTTTTGCTTCAACCATTTCAGGTGGTAAATAATCTAATGTTCCACACATTGTTGATCTCTTGGAATTTGGGGCATGAACACTCCAACCAAAATCACTAATTTTAATAATATTATCAAAATCAACCAAGATATTTTCAGGTTTAATATCTCTATGAATTATATGTTTTGAATGTAGGTAGCTCAAAGCCTGTGCCATTTGATAAACATAATATGACGCAGTAATATCATTATATCGTTTTTTCCTCTTTAGATGTTTATATAATTCTCCATAAATAACATATTCTAATATAAGATAAACTCTATTTGAATCATGAAAATAACCATAAAGTCTCAAGATATTTTCATGTCTTAAATTTGATTGAATTTCAACTTCTCTTCTAAATTGTTTTTCAACTTTATATTCCATAAGCTCTTTCTTTTCCATAACTTTTAATGCACATATAAATCCAGTCTTCTTATCTTGGACACAATAAACTTTACCAAATTTTCCTTTACCCAATTTTTTACCAATTTCAAAATCATCAAGTGTATATTGTCTCAATGGGACTGAAGATTGTTCAAGGATACTCAAAGGTGTTGATTTTCTTGGAGCTGGAGCCCTAGTTGTTGTACTAGTTATATTCTCTTTTCTTATTGATTGTCTTTGACGTGGTGATTTGACATTAGAACTACTTGTAAATGTTGGATTCATATATGAAGGTTGAGATCCTTGTCCTTGTCCTTGTCCTTGACCACCTTTATTTGATAATCTTGAATTTAATCTATTTGTATTGTTTAAATTTAATTTTGTAAGGATTTTTCTTTGATTTGGTTGTGATTTATTAATCTGGAATTGTTTGTTAGTATGAGGGTTTTGTATGAGTATAAAAGAATTGGATACTTACTCTTTCTTTCATTATTTGTGATTGTCGTTGTTCTCGTGACATTTTGGATTGATGACTGATAACAATAATGAATAATCAATCAATGAAATGTATCAAAATGTGTCAAATTTATTAATTGTTTTTACTTTTTGTTTTGTTTTGTTTTGTTTTGGTTTTAAATTTTGTTTGTGAATTTTTGGTTTTTTTTTTAATTTTAATTCCAATTCGGGAAAAAGGTAAACAAAGAAATTGTAAAGAAAATGAATATTATCGTGTTTTATCACGGTGTTGAGAGTGGTTTATTTATGATTATGATGAGTGTCTTACTGTGACTTCAAGGTTTATTATGGTGTTTTCAGCGTGCTTTTATCTCAACTTTTGATGGAAATAATCGATTGTTGTACTGATCATCGTCGTAATTAATACCCATGATATAAAGATTCTATAAAAACATGATTATACAAGGTTTTCAACACTCTTATCGAGGAAATATAAGTTTGTCATGGTTCTCATGCCTATAAAACCATGTCTTTTTCATAGATATACAAAATCAGTTCAATTTGACACAATTTCTATGATCTTTCTAAATCTCATTCGCAGCTTCGACTAAGAAAAAAAATTTCAACCTGGAGAAGAACTCATCTAAAACTAGTACTAGTACAACGACAACAATGATTGATGATTCACAAATCCAAACCCTTCTTAAATGGGGCCAGGACCAAGGTGCTATAATAGATCCTAGTATTCAATTCAAATATACTAAAGATCATGGTATTTCAGTATTTGTTACCCAAGATATTAAGACCCCATCCGAAAAACCACAAATTAAAATCCCATCAGATATGATTATTCATAATAAATTAGCCCTGGATACATTTGGTGAAAGTTTTATTTCAAAGAGTGATAATGTCAATTCTTCATTAAAATTATTAGTTTCAAAACTAAAATTTGATAATACTAATGATTCATGGGAATTACAACAAAAATTTAAACCATTTATTGATTTATTACCTTTGGGAAAAGAAACTGGTTCTGTTTTTTATTGGTCTTCAGAAGAATTAAGAACTTTAGGAAAGACTAATTTAGCTGGATCTTTGGAGGCAAAGACTAAATCATTATTAAAAGAATGGTATTCTACTGTGGAAAATCTTGAACATACACCAGAATTACAACAAGATTTAAAACTTTTCCATGATTTTGACTCATTAGATCATGATACTTTAGTTTCAAAGTTGTTAGATACCAAAAGTTGGACAAGTTTTGGAGCATATTTATGGTCATGTATAATTTTTACATCAAGAGCTTTCCCTAATGAAATTATAAATTCAAATTGTAAACCTGGTCAAGCTATATTATTACCAATTATTGATTTATTAAATCATGATAATTCAACAAATGTTGAATGGTCATTTGAAGAAACTGGGGATGAAGGATTCTTCACATTATTGAATAAAGACCCTCATACCAAAGGTGATGAAATATTTAATAATTATGGTGCTAAAAGTAATGAAGAATTATTATTAGGTTATGGTTTCACCTTGGAAGATAACAAACATGATACAATAGCTTTAAGAATAAAATTACCCCTTGGAGAGATCTTAGAAGCTGAAAATTTTGGTTTCCAAATCCCCAAAATTGAAGATTATACCTATTTTGCATTTTCTACAGGTGAAGAAATTTCTAAAGCTATCAAAACTAAATATGATGAGAATGAAGGAATGTTATTTTATATAAATTATCAAAATTTAATCCCTGATAATCTTTTAAAATTATTTCAATTTAAATCTTCACAAGGTACGAGTGAAACTGGATCAACTTTAAGAAATAAATTAAATGGTTTACAAATTTTTAGAAGTGCCCTAGAGACAAAACTTTCCCTTCTAAAAGAATCATATGAATCAACAACAAATATTAATCCAGATATTTTACAAAATGCTAAGAATTATAAAAATGGTCAAAAACAATTATATAAATCAAGTTTAAAAGCCATTAAACACCTTGAAAAGGAATTATTACATGATTACAAAACCCATGTTACAACATTATCAAAAATTTATAAAAAAAGTGAATCTTTCCAAAAATTATTATATGAATTATTAAATATTGATTCTGATTTATCATTACAAAAATTTGATACCCAAGATATTTTAATACTGTGGATAATTTCTCAAAATGAAGGGTTTGGAAGTGATTTCCAAGCACTAGAATACTTACAACAAACATATCAAGAGAATTTAAAAGCATTAGAGAATGAATCAGAATCAGAATTGGAAATTTTTGAATTTTTACAAGAGTTAAGTACTAAAGATCATAAGATTGTGGAATATTTAAAACCAAGGAATATTAATGCTGCTGCGGCTGCTTTGAATCAAAATGTTTATCAAAGGGTTAGTGATGGTCAAATTATTCTTGTAGAGCCTTTAGATCTGTGATATATTGGGAAATAAATCGAAATAATTTGAGATTTTGGTGAAGAGCTTTGTAGTTTCCTTATATACCCGCGAATTTTCTTTATGTCTCATAAATTTAAAAGTTGATACCCAGATCAGAAATGAATCATTTTAGATAAGTTTATTAGGGCTATTACAATGAGATTGATTAAAAGGTTTTATTCATCAAAGAAATCAATAGAAAATGCTTTCACAAGGAGACTTGCTGAGCTGGAGGAGGAAATCATCCCAAAGAATGATCCATTATTAGGCTCATCTCATAATTCTTTAATTGATAAAGATCCAAAACTGATTAAATTATCAAATGAATTAGAAGCAAAAAAATTTGAACATGATAATCAAAAGTCAATATATACCTCTCAATTACCTCGATATGCTGGGAAACAAGCTAAAGATATTGCATATAGTCAACCTTGGACTGGTGAAGAATCTCCCAAAGATTCTTCATTACGTATGCTTGTTGATAAACATAAACCATTGAAAATGAAAACAGATATTGCCAAATTAGCAAATGCTAAAGAAACCGTATTAGATTATAGAATAAATAAGAATGTTAACACTGAAGAAGACTCAAAATTTAAAGAACTTTATCAAGAAAAATTCACTCCAATTGGTTCATTCGATAAGATTAAAACTATTGCAGATGCTAGAATTGATGAGCATATAAAACAAGGTGGGTTTAAAAATTTACCAAGAGGTCAGAAATTAAACACTGGAATTGGGAACTATGTGGATCGTACTGAACATCATTTGAATAATATATTGGTTACACAAAATGTCGTACCTCCATGGATTGAAAAACAAGGTGGTGTTAATTATGAGATTTCAAATTTCCAAAATGAATTGGTTAATAAATGGAAAACTTTTATTGGATCAAATTATGATCCTGATTATAAAGTTATGCAAAGTGAATTTATTAAAGTTTATTCTTCTCAGTATGATCATAAAATCAAATTATTGAATAATTCAATAAGAACTTATAATTTACAAGCTCCAATGTCAACTCAAAAATTTTATGCCTTGAAGGATAAAGAATTTCAAAAATGTTTTGATTCAGTTGATATACCTCAAGTTTTAAAAGAACATAAAGAAGAACTGTTGAAAAGAAAATTGAAAAATAATCAACAGAGTTCTACACAAAAAAATGGTCCTGGTTTTTGGGGAAAACTTTTTGGATTAGATTAAAGTTTTTTATGTAAGGATATAATGAATAATGATGAATGATTAAACAGGTCTACAATAATGTAAATAGTGATGAATATGTATATATATGTTGTATACTTATATTCAACCATGATGTAGAATGCTCTATACAGTAACTTCTTCAATAACAGGAGCTTTTTTTTCTTTATTTTTACCCTTCTTTCTAACTCTTGTATCTTCAGGATTAAACCCAGCAGAATCACTACCCCATAAAGCCCAATCAGGAGTTTTAGCAATATAATCTAATTTATCAAATGGTTGACCATTCTTTAATAATTCAAAAAATTTACTATAATCAATATGTGTATGCCATTCACCATTAATATTAAATTGATTTGAACCAACCAAGATACAACATGAATGAGCATGTTCTGCGGCAATACCATAACCTAAACCTCTTTTATTCAATTCATTAGTTAAATTCTTAACAAAATTTTGACATTCTTCATAAAATGGAATATTTTGCATTGTTAATGGATTACCATTACCTGATGAAGAACCACAGAATGTAGCACCTTTAATTTCAATTAATGAAGGACGAGCTCTTTCCACTAAATCTGCATAAGCTTCAGCTTCACTCATATTGAAACCTTTGACTAAAGTTAATCTAAACACGGTTCTTTGATGAGCTTGAGAAGTTCTCAAGATATCTAAACATTTAATTAATCTTTCCCAATAATCTTTAAATAATGGTCTATCAACTTTTTTCAATTCATTTTTAGTTGGTGCATCAATTGAAACATATAATTGAGTAACTTTATGTAATGCTTCTAATTGATCTGGATGTTGAGCATTACAAACTAAGAAACTTGAAATTTCACGTTCATGTAACATACCAACAAAATCATTAATATATGGATAAAAAATTGGTTCACCAACTAATGATAAAGCACAATGACGAACTCTAAAAGCTTCAGTAAATCTATCAGCAACAACACCTGGAACACCTCTCATTTGTTTAATTTTGGAATAATGACCTTGTAAAGCACCTTCTAAAATAACATCAGGTTGATCAACTTGCCATCTCCAATTTGTACCAACTGGATTTGTACCATGTCTCCAACAGAAAACACATTTATTTGAACATGATAAAGATGGTGTAGTTTCCATACATAAATGAGATCTAATACCATAAAATGCAAATTTATAACATGAACCACGACCTCTTAAGGCAGATTTTGTCCATCTGCAAATTTTAACACCTGAATGTGATCCAACAATTGTATAGCCTTGTTTTGTTAAACTTTTAAAAGTTGGTGAATTTTTAGCAACCATTTCTTTAACTTCTGATGATGAACTATTTGAAATTTTTTCCTTTTCAGATGATTTCATCATATTACCCATATCTTCAACATCAACTAAAGTATCTTCACTTTCACCCGATGAGGAGTTAGCATCTCCATCTTCTGCATCTGAATCTTCTGCATCTGAATCTCTATATTCATACAAGATTGGTTCATCATCTTTCAAAGCATCAACAAATAAATTAATCCATTCTTTAATTTTTTCATCACCTTGAGTCTTAATACACATTTCACCAACTGGGAAAATTCTTCTCGCACCTAATTTACCTAACCAATAATCAGTTTTTTTAGCTTGATAACAAAATTTTTCAGGCCATGATTCTAAATCACCTAAACCTAAAACAGTAAAACCTAATAATTTTTTCAATGGATATTTATCAACTCTAAAATCTTGATATGTATCTTCTAAAGTTTGTAAGAAATAATCAATTGGTGAATCAACATCATAAGATGGTAAAACTAAACAATAAATCAAATTATCTAATTTAGGAACATTCATAAAATAATCATCTAAATCTGTAATATCATCTAAATTCATTAATTGTGGTTTATTTTTCAAAGAACCCATTAAATTTAAAGATGACATTGTTTCATATAAGTTTTTAGCAGATCTTTCAGATGCACCTGTTAATGAAGTATAAAATATAATGATGTTTGAATCTAATAATGATGTATTTGCTTTAGTCATTTGTTTTGGTGGTTCTTTTTGCTTGGATTGTAAACCTTTAGATTTGATCAATTTTGGAACTCTTTTCACTCTTGGTTTACCATTAGCTGGCCTCCCAGTAGATTTATCAGTAGTTGTTGTGGTTGGTTTTTTAGCAAAAGCTGTGGTGAAATCAACAGCAATACCATCATCTTGAGGTTCTGATTTCTTACCAAAACCTTTCAATTTCTTTAATCCAGATAATGTCTTCTTATTTTCCTTCTTTTTATCTTTACAAGTACAAGCAGAACCACATCCACCTTCTTTTTTATGTTTATGTTTATGTTCATGATTTTGACCATTACTGCTTATAGAATCTTGTTGATGGTCTTGTGACACTTTTCTGATAAATAATGCATAGACAGTAGCAGCAAATAAAGCAATTGTGAATCTACCACCACTTAATAAATATGTTATGATAGCACCAGAGACTACCAAAGATGTGGGTATTTTAGAACTCATTATGTGAATTTGTTTTTTCAATGTATGTACAAGATGATTTCTTCAATGAGATAAAAACAGTCTTTTTCCAGGCTTCCCTTTATAGCTCTCAGCAGTGTAATATAAGCAGATTCCCCCAGTCTAATATATAACAAATACCAAAGTATGAAAAAACCAAAACAACAGCTGAACAAAAAACAGCTTCTTATTCGTTTTTTCCAAAGTATTACAAATTGCAAATTGTTAACCGCTCATTCGCTTTAAAAAAAAAATTTAAAAGAAAAACAGAAATTTTATCGACACGCGAAAAGTTTGGCAGATTTTGAAAAAATGATTATGTCATCGATGAGTAATTGGTATACACTACAAGTATTAATTAAATCTATTTATATGGGGGTCTATATTGTTCAGTATATACAAAGGCTCAATATCTCATTTGACATGACTCATATATTTCTTGTTCAAACAATTCGCCAGCTCCAACGTGAAATTTAACTGAATCTGGGGAAGATTTTTCTTCAGTATCTCTTTCAATTACTTTATCATTAATCAATTTCCCTCTTAAAGCTTTTAAGAACTCTTCTATATTGAAATCATCTTTAGTTGGTGTCATAACCACCATTATATCATCAGCTAAATTTTGATTTCTAGATGGAAGTTTAACAAGATGCATTGATTGTGAATAATCTGGGAAAAGATCATATAATCCATTTTGAGAAGCAACTGAATTTAAAAATGAGTTCAATTCTGGTCTATGATATTCACATTCAAATTCAAAAGAGACCACAATGGCATTATTATTGACAATATTAGCATCATATAAGAATTGTTCCCTTTCGGATTGTTCGTCTTCATCACAATCATCACCATCATTCACACATGAATGATAACAACTTGTACATTGATTTTGCTCAATATATTTCAAATATCCAGCATATGCTTCCGTTATGGAATCAACATCATATGTTGAATCTGCAATGAGTGCCTTTGAAGCGACTTTACCTTGATAGTTCCAATAATACATAACCACATCTTCAAAAGTTTTAACTTCTGGAAGATGTAATATTAATTCTTCAACATCATAAATTTCCAATTTTCTTGTTGAATGGGCTGAAATATATAACCCATTCCCAGCTTCAGATTCAAATGCATATGAAGCCATATCAATATATGGATTTATAAATCTACCACCATTATTCCAATTTTTCTGAAAATTTATTTTCTCAAGTGATTGTCTTAATTCAGCAAATAATGAAGAGCCAACTTGTTCTATAGTATCCATTTTCCTCTTGATTAAAGATTTTGAATTTTCTTCAGCGAGAATTTCTTTGAATACAATATCAGTATTTTGTTCTTCTCTCCAATTAATATATTTAACATCACCAACATATAATTTGGTTAAATTTGAATAATCTTTATGATCAAAACTATAGCCTAATCTCATATCTGAAATTACTGATCTTTGTGTCCATATTTTTTTGATAGCATCTTCAAGCGTATTAAACATTGGGAATATTATCAAAAGAACATCATCTGATGTGTTATCGTTAATAATCTCATCTTTAGAAGGTATGAAATACTCCTTCATTATTACTTTATTATCAGTTGATGATTCATTATGATGAGACATTTTATCATCTTTTTGAGCTGTGATACTAACTTTGCCATCATCTAAACAATATTCTCTTATAAATCTATTAAGTTGAGTTTTCTTGGTCCATTTTTCAATTTCTCTAACAATATGGAGAGAATTATAACTAGATTCTTGAGCAGCTTCAAATAAATTTTCTTCTCTTTGTCCAATACATAAACCACAATTAGTTTCAGCTTTTGAATATTCTAAATTAAATTTTTGTTGTAATAATTTAATCGTTGCTTGACATTTTTTTAATGAAGTTTTAGTTGATGTAAATTCAAAAACATTAGATTTCAAAGGGAATTCATTTATAATACTTGTAGTTGGTTTAACTTTTGGATCATCATAAATCTGAATAATTTCAGTAGTAGTTATAGGTCTGGTACACAAGATATTGAAATGACCACCAATAGATCCTCCTGCTGATACAAAATGAGGAATTCGGACAAATTGACCTTTAGCATTATTTGTATGTTTATCACCAGCTAATTTTAATTTAAAATTATAAAAATGATCAGTAGAAGGTGGTTCATCATTAGATGATTGTGAATTTTGGAAACTTTTATAAAGTGAATCATTTCCAAGTTTTGGTTTGGCTCCATTATTGGTTGTAGATCTATTAATAACTAAACTGTTGTAATCAACTGAGTTATCTTCAAATTCTTCGTCATCAAACATCATTATATTTATATTGAATTGTCTTTAAACGGTTGATCAAGTGAAGATTAAGAAAGAAAAAACATTTTGGATTATTTTGGAAAATGTCATGTTTAAATGATGTTTCTGTATAAGTTCTCATGTTATTTCTCTAAGATTTTTTAAAATTTCACATCAAAAAACTTAGATATTAAAGAACTCATCAATTATTTGATAATGCGTGAAAATTCTGAGGTTATTCAAAATTTTCTGTTATTTACACTTTTCTATGGCAGAACTCTGATTATGTAATGAAGGTATATAGACTTTAAATTCAACTTTTCACTTTCATGAGTCTTTTTTATGAGATGATTTTGAAATTATTTAAATGAAACGACTTTTCCAATTTTATTTAGTTTTCTATCTCATTATTTACCTAAGAAATACATAAGCAATCGATCAATTTAAAGTTAATAATGAATAAACCTTCAATACCAACCAAGATTTATAAGACCATTTCCTCTCTATGGAGAGGTGACTGTTACCAAGCAGTGGAAATTTGGGTAGAAGAACCTAGTTTATTAGATATGGCAGTTTATGAAGAGTATGAGATATATCATGAGTCTCTTTTGAGGAAAATATGGAGATTTAATAGAATGTTTCTTCCTGTAAGGTACTATTCCACAATTCCTTTTAAGGTCTTGTTCAGGTTAATCAATACCATCGCTATGCCAATCAGAAGTCTTTGGGTAATTTGTACTCAGCCATTCATATCAATTAAGAGAATATCACGAGCTAGTCATGATACAGTTCCAGGAAAGGTCGATGTTGATAATATGTTCCCTGTGGAGATTTTGGAACTTATTGCAAAATATGGTGATCTAAATCCCTTGGATATGATGATGATAAATAAACCATTATTATGTATATTTGCTCCAAGGGTCTATGATACTTTACACTTAACAATTGTTATTAGTATATTGAGAAAAATGAAATTAAACGATGAATGTTTTTTGAAACATGGACCTGATAATTTTGATAAAACTTTTAGGAGACCTATAGATTCATACTCAATTTATGAAAGAAATAAAAAAAGTAAGCACTTTGATTATGAGTTTTTGAATACTGATATTTTGGATAGCTGGAAGGGAAAGGGTATTCAAATAAACAGTGAACATATTCATTGTCATCCACAAGCACCAAACTCATATGATCGAAATAATAACCCTATGCAGGTTAGAAGTTATGAGAAAATTAAACATATCTTGAAACATACTATACAAAACCCTAAATCAATTATGAAAAAATTTATAAGTGAAGTATTGATAGACATTTGTATCTTGGATGGATATGATAAGCTTTTCAACGAGGCCTCGAGCTCTGACACAAATCCAGAATCGTCAAAATCAACATCACAGTTGATTGAAGAAGTGGAATCAGAGAATCAGAACTGTTCGGTTTATTTTTCTGAAAGTTCAACTGCTCTTAGAATTGCCGGTATTCCATTTGATGATAACTTTAATCGAGAAAGATGGAGATACTTACAAGAGTTCAAAGCGAGACATCATAAATTTGCCTTTAATGCACTCAATAGAGCTAAGCCATTGTATGATATTTATCCTAACGTGGTTTATTTCAAGGAATTGATACCCGTTTTCTTACTTTCGGAGAAAATTTATTCACATAAGTTAAGAAGACGGTTATTCAACATTCAAGACTCTCAAAGCTTCATTCATGATGCTAATCCATTGAAGCATTGGGGCTACACAATTATAAAAACATTTAGAGGAAATTTTTCAGAAAAGGAACGTTTATTTAAGTTGTTTATTAGTGGACAAATATCAGTGGATGTACAATCCCGCAAGTTTGAAACGAAAAAAGTTGTTAATGGGTTTTTAAATGACTTGATTCAAGCATTTACAACAGATTCAAATGGATTGAAAGCAAAAACTTCAATTTTAATAATGGGTATAGACAATTGTAAGCCTCAACTTACAGAAGAGTTCACAAGAAATGCATCATATTCAGAAGCAAGAGATCAAGGGTCATATGTTATTTACAAACCTTCAATGGTACTTATAAATAAACAAGCTACATATTGATATAACTTATTCTCGGCTAGTTTAATAAAAGAATTATTTATTTATAATGGAGAGGATGTATGTATTATTAAAGTATCGATTGTAATTGTCGTAGTGTATCAGTCACAAGCCTAATTGTATACATGTACTTCACGCTTACCACAAAGTCCGATATGTTGATTTTGGAAATTACTTTTGACACAAAAATGCCAAAAAATGCTAATGATTACCTTTATAGTGATGTAAAGACGCCATATAAACATATACACTTATCAAGCTTTTACCATCAAATTAATACAACCTTGCTATTCTCATCATCAGCATCATCTTTATTCATCCCCAAACAAAATTAAAGCATGAATTTTATTTTCAAGAAGCAAGAAGCGGAACCTAGAGTGGAAGTTCAAAGAAATATGGACTCGTTGACTTATTTGATTGGTGAAGGTTTAAAGGATGACATCCTAACTTGTATCAAACAACAATTAGATGAAAGTTTATAAACTAGACCAACCCAGGTGTTCAAAACAGAATTGAAAAACAAGGTCGTCTGTTGCATCAAAAATCATCACCATTTTAAGTTGAAAACTGATTATCTATCAGTCGGAGAGAAGTCCGAAGTTTCCACAAACATTTATGAAATTTTCTTCAAAGAAGAATTGGATCATCACATAATGGAGGTCACAAACTTGGGAAATGAACCATTAAACTTAACAATTACAATCCGTGAAAACAACAGATCCAGAAGAAACATGAATTGGGAAGAATTCTTTCAAATATCAAATGATGATGAAGCACCAAATACTGTTTTCCCACTTGATGATCAAGCTGCTGAAGAATGAATCACCATATTCATCACCCTGGATTTATTTTTTTAACTTTCATTTGATTATGTTAATCAAATTTCATCTGGTGATTTTTTTTATTTAAATTTTTCAGCATCAAAACTTTCAAATTCAAACATTAGATGATTATTTATTTTTGTCAACACATTTAGTTTATCCCAAAGGTAGTGATTTTATTTTTTTCATTTGAATTTCAGATTTTTCAATTTCCCAATTTTGTTGCTGTTTTGGACATTTTTATACGGTTCTTTATTGCTGCTAATGCATTAGTTTAATTCAACTCCTATATCTTATGTGGTGTGTTTTTTTATAAATTTTTTAGGAGGATTAAAATTTCCTGTAGTTTTTGTTTCGATTAAATATTATCAGCCTTTTCTGATGATTATCAATCATCTGATTGAATCTTGAAACCATTATGAAAGCAATCACATAACCGTCAATTCATCTGTTGATTCCAGCCCCTGTTGTTGTAATTGTTGATTCGTATTCTTTTCTCTCAGGGGTAATCAGTAATCAGTTATGATAATTTATCAGTTATGTTTACTTTTGGTTGAAATTGAAGGGTTTCAAAAGTGGTGTTCGGGTTTCCTCTGGGGTAATACTAGACTTCCCAATTAGGAATGTAAAATGTATATAATCTTCGATTTGGTATTTACTTCTACAATATCATCGATTATCTCATAATCTTGTATTTCCATCAATCTCTAAATTTAATTAGAACCATTAGAAGGATTACACATTGAATAAATCTCTTGCTCAAATAATTCACTAGCATCAACATGTAAATCAGCTTTAATATTAATAGGTTTAACATTTCTAATTACGTCCTCAGTAATAGAGTATTGATCCATTGCATTATCAACTAATAATTGTTCTTTAACAGTTAATAAATATCCTGTTAAATCCAATTCTTCAGAAGGTGAAACGATTAAAATCATATCCTTCATACCATTATTACTTGAATGATCTTTTGTTAATTCAATAAGATGTAGATATTGTGGTTCATCAGGAATTGCATTATAAACTCCTTGTCCTGAAGTAATTGAATTCAAGAATGAATTAAAATTTGGATAAAGCATATTTGAAACATATTGTGGAGATATTGTAATAACATGATTATGAATGACTTCAAAATCAGTTAAAAATTGTTTATATTCTTGTGATTGCTCTTTATTATTTATATCAAGTGAATGATTTAATGATAAACCACATGATTTACACTGATATTTATCTAGAAATTTCATATAACGATCATAAGCCTCTATAATGGTATCAATATGAAATTTGGGATCAATCATGAAACTTGTTGAAACTAATCTTCCATCAAAAGAATCAAATTGATAAGTATCCAATTCTCCAGTGGTTTTAACAGTGGGACGTTTCATTAATAATTTATTCATTAAATCAACAGTTAAATTTCTTGTTGAATATGTTATAAATCTTGAATCATATCCATAATCTAAAGAATGAAACAATTCAAATCGAGGATTGTAGTCAAGAGCTCTATTAATCTTGTCATATGATTGTAAAGATTTTTTCAATCCACCAATTCCTAAAGGTATTGGTTCCTTAATTGGATTTTCAATGTTTCTTTTAAATAATTGAGTTCTATTATATTTTTGAATTGAAAATTTTTCATCATATATGGCTTGTTGAGACTCTCTAATTTTAATATACTTAATATCACCAATATATAACTTTGTACAATCTGAATAATTTTTATGATTTTCATTATCATAATTTGAATTCTCTAAAATGTTAAATTTTTGTAACATAACTTCATTCAAGACATCGCCAAATGTTGTTTCATCAGTTTGAGCAATAATCAAAAGAACATCTTCTGATGTATCTTTAGTTACTAATTCATCCCTAGATGGGATTCTATATTCCATTAATGTAACTTTTTTCGATAATCTGTTCCCATGATGTTTTGGGATAGTATCATTTCTTTGATCTGTTAAACGAATCTTATTTTCAATTTCAATATCTTTCTTCAAGAACTTTGAAACTGGAGTTTTCTTTCTCGGCCATTGATCAATAACTTTAACTATATGTAAATATTCATTACTTGACATCAAAGTTTTCACATATAAAACATCTTCTCTTTCACCAATACATGAACCACAATTAGGTTCGGCTTTAGAAAATTCAATATTAAATTTTTTCTTCAAATTTTGAATATTTGTCTCAAATGGTCTATTATCTGTTATATTTGGTGAGGAAAATAGCCAATTCTTAGACTTATATTCATTTATTCTATAAGTTTTAGGTTCAATATCTGATTCGAAAATCTGAAGTAATTCATCACTAGTTGTTAATCTTGTACATACTATTTTAAATGAACATGGAGCATCATTGGCCTTGCTATCAAATTCTATGAAGTAAGGAATTGTAACATATTGACCTTTTGAAGAATTTGTATGTTTATCACCGGCTAATTTTAGTTTAAAATTTTCGAAAAATGAACCTTCAGTAAAATCAACTGGTAACGTAGAATCAATTTCTGTAATAATTTCTGTTGTTTTGATCACTTCATCATCTTCGATAACATCTTTGACTTGATTTTGGGGAATATTGAGATCGATCTCAGTAAGAGCAATGGATTCTTGATGATTCATTTTATGAAGACTATTATTGTTCTAATTTGATGAAGAATCAAGCAAAAAAGAATCATTGAAAAACTAGTAAATCCCATCTCTTTTAAATAGTCTCATCCTCTTCACTCTAAATCCTTTTTCTGTTTAAATTGAGCTCATTATCTTCAAACCTGTTTCAACTCCTTCAATTCTCTCACCTCTCACCCATTATCTGATAGAGAATAACTCAAAAATGCTCATTTTAACCCTCAACAAAAACGACACGCAATAAACAACTCGAATTCTAACCAACCAAGCACCCCATATCTAGTGAATCCCAACACTAACCACTGTTTTCCCCATAATCTTTCCAAAAAGCAGCCATTTTGAATTCTTAAGTAGTAAAAAATTTTGTACGTCTGTCATGATTCTCTGGGCACACGACACGTTGTTCAAAAAAAAACATCAATAAAGATTTCAAAACACTTAAAAACGATGGGAATTCCAGGAAAATTCACCAGATTCTCAAAGAGATCAGACTAGATCTATTCAAAGTGGTTCATTTTGGCTTAGGATTCAGGCCCATTTGTTGAGATTCGCTGGTTTTAAGTATGAGAATCGCATTTATCCACCCGGATTTGGGTATTGGTGGTGCTGAAAGATTGATTGTTGATGCTGCATTGGGACTCCAAAATGAAGGTCATGAAGTTCAAATGTTCACATCTCATTGTGACAAGACTCATTGCTTTGAAGAATTGGCTGATGGGACTTTAAAAGTGAAAGTTTATGGTGATTTCTTACCTACAAATTTACTGGGGAGATTAATGATTGTTTTTGCTACATTAAGACAATTGGTTTTAGTATTAAAATTGATTATATCTGGTGAAATTTCTGAATATGATTTGTTCATTGTGGATCAATTAAGTTTCTGCTTACCACTTTTACATCTTTTCAAAGAATCACGTTCAAAAACATTATTTTATTGTCATTTCCCTGATCAATTATTAGCAAGACGTGAAAGTTTTTTGAAAAAATTATATAGAATTCCATTTGATATATTGGAACAATTCACCACAAGTACTGCTGATAGTATCGTTGTTAATTCAAATTTCACTAAAACTATGTATGATAAAACATTCCCATATATAAAAGATTTTAATATTCCAGATGTTATTTACCCATGTGTTGATTTATCAAAAGAAACAATTACAAAAGAAACTGAAACCATTTTCAATGGTATTATTGGTTCTAAGACTGAATATTTCCTAAGTGTCAATAGATTTGAAAAATATAAAAACATTGAATTGGCTATTAATTCATTTAATAAATTTTTAGAATCAAATCCAAATTCAAAAGTTAAATTAGTTGTATCAGGTGGTTATGATAAAAATTTTGAGGGTAATAAGAATTATTTAAAACATTTACAAGACCTTGTATCAAGATCCAATTTATTGAATTCAGTTGTTGTTTTCAATAATCAATATGAAGAATTTTCAAATAATATTGATCAAGATATAAATGTTATCTTTTTACCATCAATTTCTTCAAATTTAAAAGAATTATTATTAACAAATACAAAACTTTTATTATATACTCCATCTTTTGAACATTTTGGTATTGTCCCATTAGAAGCTATGAAATTTGGTATCCCAGTTATTGCTATAAATAATGGTGGTCCAGTTGAAACTATTAAATCTATTGATGAAGATCCTGAAAATGGTGTTGGTTGGTTAGAACCAAGTGAACCTGAATTATGGGCTAAAAAATTAGAACAATCATTAACAATTCCAAAAAATAAATTAATTTCAAATGGATTAAAACAATTAAATTCAAATTTTACATTAAAAGTAATGACTCAAGATTTTGAAAAACAAATTTTAAAAACTTTAAAAAAACCAAATCAGTCATATTTTTGGGAAAAATTAATTTATATTTGGAGATTACCAATTTTTATTATTGCAAGAACTTATTTTAAAATTAATGCAATTTTAGTTTGGGGTTTAACTGGTATTACATTTTTACCTGGTGGAATTTTCCAAATTATTGCAAGTGTTGCATTAATTTCATTTTATTTAGTTGCACCTGAATATTTTGATCGTTATGAATAGATAAACAAGAAATACATGAATTTTTCTTTTGGCAAACATCAATAATAATAATAATAAAAATATACAACGTCAAAATACGTAGAAAATATAACAAAAAATCATTAAACTTCATTATAAATAAATCACAATAACCTAAACATTAAATCCATTCTCTTGATTAATAGATTTTCTTTGTGCATTCAATTGTTGAGCTCTTGCTAATGCAGCTTGATAATGTGCAGGATTTGTAACCATTTGATTAATCTGTTGAGATCTTGCTAAAGCAGCAGCATGAGCTTGTGCAGCTTGTTGTTGTTGGATCTGCTGTGCAGTTTGTTGTTGATTATGTTGTTGAATTTGTTGTTGTTGTTGTAAAGGTGATTGTTGATTGTTAGATGATAATGGAGATTGTTGAGATCTATTCTGTTGTGCGGCCTGCGCTTGTGCTTGTTGTTGAGCTTGTACTTGTGCTTGCTGTGCTTGTTGTGCTTGTGCTTGCTGTTGTTGTTGTTGCTGCTGTTGTTGTTGTTGTGCTTGTTGTTGTTGTTGTTGTTGAATATTATTCTTATTAAGCATGATTCTTTGTGGAGCTCTAACCAAGAACAGATGATCATTTGCACGATCAACATCCAACAAAGCAGTACGACCATTTATACCACCAACACCATTACTATTTGTTATTCTTGGTAATATAGCACCTGCAAACATTTCTCTCATTTTTAAAAAATTTGAACGAACTCTTGTTGTAACTAAATTTTTACGTTCTAAAGGTAATGGGAAACTTTTTGAAACACCACTCAGAACTTGTTGAGTTTCTTCATCAGAATCTAATGCAGTTGGACCACCATGAATTAATTCATCTTTTTCAGCTTGAGCTTTTGCAGCTTGACCTGCAATTTTAACTTGATTTTTATGTTGATAAGCAGCTAATAAAGTATCATAAGAAGCTGACCTACCAGGAACAGCTCTCTTGGCACCCATTGAATGAGTTTTACAAGTTAATGATCTTGCACAGAATCCACCAGTTGGTAATGCAACACCACATTGTTTTTCAACATCAACAGGACCTTTTTGTCTTGCATTTGATTTTTTCTTTGGTTTAGTTGTAGTATTTGGATCTTTTTCCTTTTTATTTTTCTTAGGTTTTGGAGCTGGTGATTCAGTATCATTAGATTGATTTGAATCTGCAGTTAATTTTCTCTTTTTATTATTACTTTTGGTATTTGTAGTTGTTGTATTATTATTGGTACTACTTGATTCAGCATTACCATTTGTATTTGATGGTTTGGAAACTGATTGTTTTTGTTGATCTTCTTTCCTCTGTTTCATTTCTAAACAAGTTTTAATATGTTTTGTTAAATGATCAATTAATATAGGTCTATCACACAAATTACAAACTCTATAATTTACAATTTGATTTAATGGATTTTTTAAATTTAAATTATTTTTCAAAAAAGATTCTTCTTTTGGTATTTCATTCAAATTTTCAAGATATTGACCAAGATCTTTCCAAACAATACTTGATTTTTCACTATTTGGACTATTTGGAGATGAAGAATTATTGATATTATTATTATTATTAATATTCTCTTTAAGATTTTTGATTTTTGAATCTGAACCAAAAGTAGATGAAACTGCCAGTATGGAATCAGGTCCAGAGGTCATACTCTTCTCAGAAAAATGAGTTTAATATAACTATGAGCACTTTTCAAATCAAAATTTGTATAGAATCACTATTTTTTTAATGAGAATAATCCACAGTTAAAATATCCTAATTTAACCAATAAATAACAGCGAAAAAAACCTATCCCACTAAACCAGGTAACTATTTCACAAATAACGACCCTAAATCTAGCTAAAACCAGCTAATTAGACTTGTTTTTGGTTGTATAAATCACAAATTCTTACAAAATCTCATAGTTTCCAAACACAAAATGTCATTGTTTATACGCAGAACTGAAAAATCGCGAAGGGCGGGTAAATAGAAATCGCTTTGATGACATAATCAGGTTTTTAAATACTCATCTTCAATATCAGTGAATCATCACCAAAATTATCAACATCAAACAATATTGAATACTTGTAAAAAAGTTCAATTGATTTCTCATCATGCCATACGAAAGAGAAGCCTACATTGCGAGATTAGCCGTGCAAAAAGCATCACTATCAACCAGATCAATCTCAAATCAAATCTTAGCAAATAAAGCTCAAAATACTATAACAAAAGATGATAAATCTCCAGTTACAATTGGTGATTTTAGTGCACAAGCTATTATAATCAATGCTATAAAAGCAAATTTCCCTAATGATGAAGTTGTTGGTGAAGAAGATTCAAATGATTTAAAAGAAAATCCAGAATTAAGTAAGGCAATCTTGGATAATTTACAAAAAAATGAATTAGAATTTAATGAGCATTATAAAATTCCTGAAAATGTTTCATTAGGTGATTCTTTCCAAGCAATTGAACAAGTTTCCCAAGTTATAGATGAAGGTAATTCCCAAGGTGGTGATAAAGGTAGATTTTGGGCTTTAGATCCAATTGATGGTACTAAAGGTTTCCTTAGAGGTGATCAATATGCTGTATGTTTAGCATTAATTGAAGATGGTATAGTTAAAGTTGGTGTTATTGGTTGTCCAAACTTACCAAATTCATTTGATAAATCAGAATTCCAATATAAAGGTGGATTATTTACAGGTATTTTAGGTGGTGGTTCATGGTATTCTAAATTATATGATTCTAAAATTATCATTAATGAATTAGGTGATCAGATTCAAATGAAGAATAATTTAAAATCTACATCAGAAATTAAAGTTTGTGAAGGTGTTGAAAAATCACATAGTTCACATGATGAACAATTTAAAATTAAAGATTATTTAGGAATTCCAATTGATCAAACATTAAATTTAGATTCTCAAGTTAAATATTGTTCATTATCAAAAGGTCTTGCAGAATTATATCTTAGATTACCAATTAGTTCAACATATCGTGAAAAAATTTGGGATCATGCAGCTGGTAATATTTTAATTACTGAAAGTGGTGGTATTGTTACTGATATTAAAGGTGAAACTTTAAATTTTGGTAAAGGTCGTACATTACAAAGTTCAGGTGTTATTGCAGGTTCAAAACAATATCATTCAAAAGTTATTGAAGCTATAAAATCATTAGGTTTATAAGTTGAATGTATATAATTATAATATTACAAAATATTAGTCTTTTCAGCCATTAATATTTCATTTCATTATTTTATTTATACAAATTATAAATATTTTTCAATAACTTCTTCAATTGAAGTATCACCATTAACTAAAGGTAAAATCTTTCTATTAGCCTTTTCATTATTTAATACTTGAACAGCAGCATTTGCAACATCATCAATTGGAATTTTGATATCATAATAATTTTCTTCAAAATTGAAATTTTCATAAGATTCTGCAATTGCTTCTTTTGGAATCTTGATTTTATTCAAACCAGGTTCTTCAACTAATGGACCTGGTTGTAAAATTGTATAATTTAATGAACCTCTTTCTAAAAATTTATCAACAATTCTTTTAGCCATATAATAAGGTCTTATAGATTCGATTGGATACCAAAAATCACGATCATCAGAATTTATAGCACTTATAAGAATAAATTTTGGAATTTTAACTTCTTCAACAGCTTCAATAATTTTTAAAGCACCATCTAATTCAATTTGTAAAATTTCATGTAAATTTTCAAAAGCATTTGTACCAGCTGCAAATATAACTGAATCAAATTTATTTTTGGAAAAATATAATGCAAATTTTGAAACTGTTGATTCTAATGGTATAGTTTCAAATTTAACATTACCAAATTTTTCTAAATCTCTACCTTTTGTTGGATTACGAACAATTGCTGTTACTGTATGACCAGCTTTTGATAATTTTTCCACAATAGCTTTACCTGTTTTACCAGTAGCACCAACAACTGCAACGTTTAATGACATTTTTTGTATTTGATCTATAATTTATTATTTCTTACTTATTATACAATTACATTGAAAAGGTTTTTAGAGTAAGATTCTCCTTGATATTTATACCTTTAAATTATGGGGTGACTTGCTACTAAACATTTGAAGTTGCTCTTGGGATAAATAGTGTGCATATCATGGCCCATAATTGGCATTGGATATGTAGGAATTTAAAATAGGCTATAATTACTCAAAATTGTGTCAAATTACATGAAAAAAAAAAGTATAATTACACAATAAAACGAATTTTTCACTGGGATTTGATCAGTTCCCATTCAAAGTATAGTATCTATAGCTAGTATCTATAGCACGTAACACCTAACTATCAAATCAAGAGATCAATGATTTTGGAAAACTACTAATTACTTTCCATTGATGACAAATTAATAAATACTAATTAATAATAGAATTAATAATATAAATGTCTTATAAGTTATAACTTAGATCATCCAATTAAGGAACATTTATGCGGTGTACGACAATATTCAGTACGATCAGCTTATAATTGCTATATACGGTTATATACCCGACTTGAAATGACAGTATGGCTTTACATTTTTATACTATTATTACAAGATTTAAATAAGTAATACAGTGATTTTATTTGTTCAATATATGCTTTAAATTGTAAAGATTATTATTAAGTAATTTTTAGTTGATTTTTCAAAGAAAAAACATTTAATGATTTTGGAATTATTCAATTTCAAAGTAAATATAAAATTATTGAAGTATAATTTTTTTATGAAAACTAAAAAATGAAATTCTAAAACCACAAAAAACTCTATTCAACAAATATGTTTGATAAAATTTACTATAATATTGTTCATGAAATAATATTTCATTTATTGTTCATGAAATAATATTTCATGTAAAATAATGCTTAATATCGAATAGAAATATTATTATAATATTTAATATATTAATCCCGGAATGTCGGAGCTACATATCTAATTCCGAGAACCGAAAAGTACATGTAAGTTATCAATATATTTAAGTAAGAACAAATATTTTATTAACATTTCCTCTAATATATAAACTATACTTATATATTCTACAATTTCCTCAATGCTTCTTTAATCTCTAAATCACCTTCAAGTAAAGGAATGAATTTCTTAATAGTTGATTTATCTGTTAAAGATTCTAAAATAACTTGTGCCACATCTTTTCTTGATATAGTAATATTAACATTTGGATCATTAATATCATTAGAAAGTGAGTTAACTGTATTTGGATCCAAAATCTTCCCCTTTGCTTCATCATCTTTCAAATAACCAGGTTGTAAAATTGTCCAATTAAGCTCATCATTGGAAGAGATAACATCATCTGCATATTTCTTTGCAATATAATAAGATCTTAAAGGTGAATTCCACCACCATGAACGATCTTGTGAATGAATTGCACTAACTAAAATAAATCTTTTAGCTTTGATTATAGTTGCAGCTTCACTTATCCTAACTGCACCATCTAAATCTACGGCAAATGTGTTATCTAAACCATTCCCACCAGATCCAGCACTATAAATAATAATATCAAATCCATTTAAAGCTCTGGTTATTGATTCAAGACTTGATTCAACAAGGTCAATATCAGTGGAATACTTGATACCTATTTTTTCAAATTTTGAAATTTGTTCTTTTGATCTAATGAATGCAGTTGTTTCATATTTATCTTTATGATTTAATAATTTTTGAATTACTTCAGTGGCGATTTTACCATTTGCACCAATAATTGCAATTTTAGAAACCATTTTGGATAAATTTAGTTGTATAGTATTGTGATAATATAACTTGTCTTTTTGGAGAAGCGAATTGCCACTTATTTATATATTTTCATTAATACAAACTTCATGTGAAAAGTATTTGATAATCCGTTTTAAAACCTTCTTAAAACCTTTAAACCCGCAATATTCAAAAGACTTAAAAGACATAATTGAAATTTATAAAGTGTAAATCAATTGTTTGTGTAACTCTTTTCAAATGCCTGTAAATAATCAACATTTCCCACAATTTCTGCATCACAGTGATCATATATGGGCTACTCAATGAACTACAATATCAATATACGGCATATAAATCACATGAAAATATCAAATTTCATTACACAGCTCATGATTATAATTTCTTGAAAGCATCTTTAATATCAAATTGACCTTCTACTAAAGGAATAAACTTCTTAATTGTTGATTCATCTCTTGTTAATTTCAATATTCCATTATATCTTCAATTGAAATACCTGAACTATTACACATGTCTCTGAAAATTCCATTATTATTGAATAGCTTCAATGGTGAATCATACTCTTCCAGTTCACCTTTCTCTAAAACTAAAATTTTATCATATTTCACAATAGTTTTCAATCTATGGGCAATACATAGAACCGTACAGTTTTTAAATTCATTAGAGATTGTATTTTGAATCAGAGCATCTGTTTCATAGTCAACACTTGAAGTTGCTTCATCCATAATCAAAATCTTAGTTGAACGAACCAACGCTCTTGCCAATGCAATTAATTGACGTTCACCTAATGAAAAATTAGAACCACCATCTTCAACAAGAGCTTCCAAATGAAATTTATTGGCCGAACTTTGATTGTTATTAGATGATTGATTTGTCAAGACATTCAATTGGTCAATCTTAATCAAATTACATCTTCTTAAAACATCCCATAGTTCAAAATCTGATCTTTCATTGAATGGATCTAAGTTTCTTCTAATGGTACCTTGAAATAACACTGGATCTTGTGGAATAATAGTTAACTTTGATCTTAATTCATGTAATCCTAATTGGCTGATATCAACACCATCAATCAAAATCTTCCCACTGGAAAGTTCATTCAATCTATATAGTGTAGACATTAATGAACTCTTTCCTGCACCTGTTCTACCACAAATACCCAATTTTTCACCACCTTTCAAATCAACACTTAAATTCTTTAAAACTAAAGGTAACTCGGGTCTATACCTGAAAGAAATGTTCTGAAATTCTATGGCACCTTTCTGCGGCCATGATTGATGAGGTATATTGTCCTTTCTGTGATAATCTGCTTCCTGGTCTAAATCATTAGCGTAATAACATAATCTTTCGACAGAATTCATTTCATTCTCAGTTTCTGAATATGATAGTAAAACTGATGTCAAACTTTCACAGAGGTTCAAAACTGATGTTGTAATTAGCCCTGTTGATCCAGCACTAATATTGAAGACTCTGAACAATGAAAGCAACATAACAATTAGAGCAACAGCTGTGGCCATTGTATCAACAACCATTGTGATCCATCTCTGATTTGTCACAGTGACCAAATAAGCTTCATTCAATTGGTCTAAATACCTGTCATTCTTGTTAACAAATCTTTCTTCAGAATTATAACATTTTATAGTTTCCATCCCACTTAAAACTTCATTGAAATTGTTATAGACAAATGACCTTCTTAATGCTTCTAATCTTTTAACTTCTCTAGAAGTTGCTTGATAAAAGTTTATTGTGAGTATAAAAATAGTACCTAAAAGTGGTAAAGCTAATGCAAACCAAGGAAGGTATATAACACACATTATTAAGATTCCAAAAATAGTAGCAGTTAAATGTAAGAAAATTTTTAATTGTTCACCAATCTCATTATCCAAAGAGTTTGTATCTTTGGTAAACCTATTCAATATTCTACCCATCGGTGTTTTATCAATAAAACTCATCGGTGTATGAAGAATCTTCGTCACTGCACTCAAGTTCAAAGTTTTGGAAGCTTCAGTAATAAAATATCCCATTCCGCTTAATTCCACACATAGAATAATGAACCCTAGTATAATGATACCAACATACATCCCAATGTAAAATCCGTTACTCTTATTGAATTTATCGTCAACCCAAAATGATAACCAAACACTTGAAAACAAACTAACGAAAATTGAAAGTGTTATCGACAAAAATAAGAAAGGTAAAGCAAATATACCGAAAACACCACGAGAAGCTTGATAATATTGTACATATATCCTAAAAGGTATACTATCAATGGCTTTTTGTTCATCTTCCACTAATTTACCATCACTATTGAGCTCATTTGTCTCAATTTGTTCACTTATATCTTTTCCAGATTTAGATTTTTCTTTTTTATTATTTTTTGTAAGAGCATAACTCATCATTGATCTATATCTGGGATTAGTTTCATGTAATTCTTCTTGAGTTCCAACGTCTATTGAACCATCTCCATTCAAAAAAATAATTTTATCAGCCTTAGAGACTAATGATAATTGATGAGTAGCCAATATTCTTGTTTTGTTCGACATTTGCTCCAAGAGACATTTTTCAACGATATGTTTACCAACATTAGCATCAACGGCACTCAAAACATCATCAAGAAGGTATATATCCTTATTTGCATAAACTGCACGAGCAAGATTGATACGAGCTTTTTGACCACCAGATAAAGTTACACCTCTTTCTCCAATTTCAGTCATATCACCAGCTGGTAATAATTTCAAGTCCGCTTCTAAAGCACAATTTCTTAATGTGTTATGATACCTATTAGCATCAAAACTATTTCCAAACAAGATATTCTCTTTAACAGTGGTGTTTTGTAACCATGGTGTACCACAAAATAATAATGATCCATCTAATGAAATTTCACCTGAAGTTTGTTTCATTAATCCAGAAACTGCAGATAATAATGATGATTTACCAGACCCAATTGACCCCATTATTACTACAAATTCACCTTTATTAACGTCAAATGTAATATTTCTCAATCCATTGAATAAGTGGTCTTCATCATTTGTGTTGCGGAAGTTTTCCCACTCAAAAGAACCATTTTCAACTTTCAAAGCGATTTTTGGGTCTGATGGTACTAAATTTTCAATTTGTGATGTTGAGTCTGGAGCTTCAAGATATTCAGAAATTCTTTTCAAACTAACAAATGCAGCAGATGTGAATGATATAAGCATTGGTAGATCTGTAACAAATCCAGAAAGAACATTGAACAAAGCTAAAGATGAAAAAATGTTACCTGGATTATGTTTTGGTGTAATTGCATATAATGTTAAGAAAGCTAGCATTGAACTAAAAGTAGGTAAGCTGACAGCCATAGATAAGATACTATTGATAGCATATTGAAACTTGAAGACATATGACATTTCTTTATTTCTAACTTGAATAATTCTTTCTTCATATGAATCCTCCCAAGAATAGAATTTAATCATTTTCATAGCATCTAAGACTTCTCTCAATAATGAGATTCTTTCATCTGTATATTTTGAAGCACTAGTTCTAACGCTGATCATCCATTTAGCAGGGAAAGTTAATAGCGGAACACCAATTATAAATAATGATATACCAGCTAAAGAGGCAGCACCAATGTTTGAAACCAATAATGCAATACCAACGATTATAGGAATTGGTAGAGTCAATAAATGTGCGGAATATGTTATACCCATGTTAATTTTTGCTATATCTCCACTCATTAAAGAAACAATCTTCCCATTCGGGAAATCAAATCTTGTTTTAGAGCTTGCAGATATTGATTTTTCCAATATAGCTCTTGTTAATATAGAGTTTGTATGAGCACCAATAGTTTTAGTATTATTAGTCGCGTGAACTAAGCAAATCGTATTGAAGAACAAATTTGCAGCTATACCCAAAGCAAATCCAACACCTGGTCCAACTGGGCTTGAAGAATCAATTATTCTTAATTCAACATTTTGGATAAGATACTTGATTAACAAAGGAGCAATAACTTGGAACACATTTGCAGAAGCTCTTAAAAGTAAAGCTTTTGAAAATTCCCATTTAAAGACAGTGACTATTGCTTTTAAAACTTTCCAATTACCTAGCTTTTGAGTTGGTGACGTGGATGCATCAGTAAGATGATTTAGTTTCTCTTTAAATTTTTCATAAACCACTGAAATAGAGCTTTCTTCATCTAATTTCCATAAATCATTGAACACCAATGTTCTCTTGTATCCTCGATTCAACAATGGAATAAGCCAGAAGAAGAACAATCTTGATAAAAAGTTGACCCTTTTATGTGGGAAAGTTGTTCTCTCTTCATCAGATTGTATTAGGGGAATTCTTTTGGACAAGAATGGTGTCATCAATCTTTTTGACCCCTTTGGCTCATCGTTGGTCTCCAGCTCAATGTCTTTATCCTCAAACAACATTGTTGGTTTCTTGAAAGATCAGCTTTTTAGCAGCGATGATTAGCAAATAGTTACAGATCCCATCGTTTTTATATGCGGATTGTGATTTTCATCAGCTTCATTATCAACTTATAAAAGGTATAAGTCCATTTAAACCCGCTTCCTTCACCTATCTATGCCACAATTCTTAACCCGATTATATAAGTTTGGTGATGCGATTATATAAAGACTACAATACTCAACAAAATAAAGCATAATCACATAGCTTAACGACACAGTTCATAATTATAATTTCTTGAAAGCATCTTTAATATCAAATTGACCTTCAACTAAAGGAATAAATTTCTTAATTGTTGATTCATCTCTTAATGATTCAATAATAGCTTGGGCAACATCTTGTCTTGGAATAGAGATCTTAACATTTTTTTCATCAATTTTATCAGCAATCCCATTGACTTTTGTTGGATCTTCAACTTTCCCTTTACCTTCATCATCTGTTAAATATCCTGGTTGGAAAATTGTCCAATTTAAATCATCATCTCTTGATATGATTTCATCTGCATATTTTTTGGCAATATAATAAGATCTAAGAGAATTATCCCACCAAAAATCACGATCTTGAGACTTTATAGCACTAACTAGGATGAATCTTTTGACTTTAGCTAATTTAACAGCTTCACTTACACGAACTGCACCATCAAGATCCACTGCAAATGTATTATCAAGTCCCTTTCCACCAGCACCGGCACTAAATATAACAGCATCAAAACCTTTTAAAGATTCAGTTATTTTAGATAAATTTGAGTTAACCAAGTCAATATCTGTAGAATATTTAACACCTAAGTCATCAAATTTTGAACCTTGAGAGGAATTTCTAATAAATGCAATTGGTTCAAATTCTGTTTTGAGATTTGCTAGTTTTTTGATTAATTGAGTGGCAACTTTACCATTAGCACCAATGACTGCGATTTTTGAAACCATTATTATATGAGATTAACAATACAATAACTTTGGATAGTGAAGTATTCTAGGGTAATAAGATCAATCTTAAGGGATAAGTACTTTTTATATACTAAAAAATTAAGCAACTTCTTTTAGTTTGATATGGTGCACATTTATACCCGAATAATTACAAATCAAAATTGTGTCAAATTTTGGTTATAAAAACGGAATTTAGCACATGCCTGAGAAATATCTTTAATGAAATTTAAGTATAAAAACGTGATTTATGGTGATTTATGAGGTTTTATTTAAAACTATTCTCAATATATGATGTGATAATTGAGAGTTTTGTCAAAAGTGATGACCATAATTATGTCTTGTGTCTTGTGACTCTTGGGCTTCTGGATTAATAATGATCAGGATTCAGGGGATATCGAGAATTTGACAGCAATTAATCACTTTTTTAATGATTCTAATAGAATTGGAACTTGAAGAAGATTTGAATTTTATTGATTTCAATTGATATGTATATGATTCAAAAGATTATTATGATTAGTTTTAATTACATATATTGTCAAATTGTGGGAAATATAAACCTCACTTTGACATCGGATGTATAATTTCACTACAAAATCAGAAATCAAAGTATCCCACAGCATAAATATATCAATAGCTTATATTTGAACTATATTTTTCCAATAGCTTCCTTAATATCAATCTCACCTCTAATTAAAGGAATAAATTTCTTTATAGTTGATTCATTTCTTAAAGATTCAATAATAGCTTGTGCAACATCAGATCTTGGTATAGAAATATCATGATTTTCTTTACTAATTTTATTAGCAATAGAATTAACTCTTAAAGGATCTTCAATTTTACCAGTATCATTTTCATCTTTTAAATGACCAGGTTGTAAAATTGTCCAATTCAAATCCTCATCTCTTGAAATAATTTCATCCGCATATTTCTTAGCAATAAAATAAGATCTTAAAGGTGTATTCCACCAAAACTCACGATCTTGAGATTTTAAAGCGCTAACTAATAAAAATCTTTTAACTTTAGCTAATTTAACAGCTTCACTAACTTTAACGGCACCATCTAAATCCACTGCAAATGTTTTATCAAGTCCTTTCCCACCAGCTCCTGCACTAAAGACAACAGCATCAAAACCTTTAAGAGTATTGGCAATTTTTTCTAAATTTGATTCAATTATATCAATCTTTGTTGAATATTTAATACCTAATTGATCAAATTTTGAACCTTGTGAAGAATCTCTGATGAAGGCTATAGTTTCAAATTCTGTTTTAAGATTTGCCAATTTTTGAACTAATTGAGTGGCAACTTTCCCATTAGCACCAATAACTGCAATTTTGGAAACCATTGTGTACTATTCCCAATTGAAATTATGTTAATGGTTCAAGTTATTCCATGAATATTCAATTGTGTCTCGTTGTTGTTGTTCTATTTCTCCAAAGGTTTTAAAATTGCGCCTATTATTAGTGTGTGCTTAGCTAAGCAGCAAAGGGTATTATCGGCTTTTAAGTTGATTCATCATTTATGATTACTCTTGGATGTTGTTGATGGAAATCGATTATGAGGTATGAGTATTTGGTAGCCAGTAGAATCCAGTGCAGTCCACAATGGAAGCAAATAACGATCATTGGTCTCCTAAACGTTTATATGTCAATTTTGTTTTTAGCTCATCGCAGAAATTTTGATCTCGGAGCTCAAAAAAATTTTAAAAGTAAACAATTGTACTGAACATTAGAAGGTAACTATTTAAACTCAACAAAAATTGTCATAAGTACTTCCAACCATGTCAAACACATCTTTAGAAGACGCAAAGAAAGTCATACACTGGATACAAACAAATCAAGGGTTTTGGAACTCTGACTTATTAGAAATCAAAGAATCTAAATTAGGTGGAATTGGAGTATTTGCCAAAAAAGATATTGAACCAACATTAAAACCTGAATTATTATTAAGATTACCAAAAGACTCTATATTTTCTGCTAAAAAATCTTCAATTGCAAATTTATTATATGAGGAAAATTTAGATGGTGCTTTAGCATTAATCATTGCATTTATTTATGAAAACCATTTTGGTGAAAATTCTCCATGGTTTGAATATTTAAAAACTATAATATATAAAGATCAAGATAATGAATTGATTTTACCACCTTCATTATGGACCAAATCTCAAAAATCATTATTAAAAGGTTCAGAATTAGAAATTTTGGGAAGTTTAGATGATGAAGAAAATAAATCAGCTTATGAAACTGCATGTACTTTTGCCCTAAATCAAAATGAAATTTCTTCATCAATTCCAATACCATGGGAATTTGATATTCAAGATAAAGAAGATCAAGAAATTTTTGAAAAATATAAAAATTTTATAGCTATTTCTCATGCTATTGCTTCAAGAGATTTTGAAATTGATTCATTTCATCAAGTTGCTATGGTACCTGGTGCTGATTTATTTAATCATACAAATAAACCTCATGTTAGATTTGAAAGTGTTTTTGATGTTTGTGAGATGTGTGGATCTGCTGGACCTTGTGATTGTATTGAAAGTGAAGGGGAAGAAGATGATGAAGATATGGATGATGAAGAGATGAGTGAGGAGGATGATAATGAAGAAGGTGAAGATGAAGAAGATAATGATAATGAAGAAGAAGGAGAAGGAAATATCCAAGAACAAGATCCAGAAGAATTAAGTGAGCATAGTGACCATGAACATAGTGATCATGATCATGACGATGAAGAATCAGATTCCGAACCAGAAGATAGTGACGTTGAAGAAAATAGACCAATAGATGAACAAATGATTTCCAAGATTGAAGCAGCACTTGAATTAGAAAAACAAGAAGAATTAAAACAAAAAAAAGAACAAGAACATGATTCAGAGAATAAAGAAATGATTATGGAAAATGATGCAGGTGGTAAAATTTTCCCAGATGAATGTTGTGATATTGTATTAATGAAGAAAGTTTCAAAAGGTGAAGAGATTTTTAATACTTATGGAGATTTTAATAACTCAATATTATTATCAAAATATGGATTCGTTATACCTGATAATTCTGATGAATCAATTAATCTAGGTCTTGAATGTTTGAAGTTAAAGAAAACTAATAAAAAATTATATTCAAAACAATTTGAATGGTGGGAATCAAAAGGTTATGAATTAATGAGAGAATTTTTCAACTTGAAAAAGAATAATTGTTGTGATGATGAAGATTGTGATGATGACCATGGAAATGATGATCATAAAGATGATGGTTGTAAAGATGCATGTTGTGGTGGTGAAGGTGAATTACCAGAAGGTGTTGAAGAGATTCCAAATTGGACATTAGAAGTCAATATAGATTCCACAGGTGAACCAAATCAATTAACGTATGCATTATGTAAATTATTATCATTGAATAAATTAGAACTTAACAAATTTTTGAAAAATCAAGAAAAGGGGCTACAAGTCTTAACAACAAATAACTCAAAAGCTTTCAAAATTTTAAAAGAATTATTAACATGGAGATTAAATCAATATGATTCTGAAATTAAATATGAAAAATTATTAAAAAGTAAAAATTATAGAGAAAAATTGATTGCTCAATTAATTATACATGAACAAAATATAATTAAAAAATCATTACAAAATATTTCAAAAAAAGTTTAGTTCTAGGTATTAATCTTAGTTTAGGTAAGACGTCAATAATATAAGAAATATCTGGATTCATGAGCAGTACTATTCAAATATAGTTTGATGTATGAATGTGAAATCAACGTACGTATATATACCCCACAACTTAATAAGAGAACCTCAAACTTTGAATAAATAAGCTTATACCGTTTTGCCATTAACAAAAAGAACTTATCTTTACAACTGTTTAACTTAAAATATACATCAAAAATCAAGAAAGTTAATCAAAATTTCACTTTATACCCCATAAACTGTGTATAATCACTCAAATTAGGTTTCGACTATAATTAATTATTATTTCTATGTGTATGTTTGAACTTTATATTACTTTATACGTATAAATTTTCGTATATTCATACCGCAATTATTGGAAACTTGCATTACAATCCAAGGAAGTTTAAGGTAGTTTAATTTTTTCGATAGGTATACAGCCAAAATCTCCAGTAACAATTTCAGACAGCCATCAAGTACTGATAATATGGGCTGATGATTAAAGTATTCAAAGGTTTTCTATGGAATTAGTGTTCCATGCTTTACAGTAATAACTCTTGCTTTTAAGCGAAGATGATGATTGTCGGTCTCAGAATCATGATGCTTATTGTTCAAAGGGTCTGTTCTTTGCATCTTTGTACAATATTAGAACAGAACAAAAAGAAAGAATGCTAGACTTGAATTTATAATCAATATCATGTCGAAAGTTGAAATTGTATTAGATTCACAAGATCCTGGGCGCCTAGGCCATGTAAGTTATGACTGAGGTTATGGCTTCCCGGCTTTCTAAGCCTAAACGTTCCACTTTTGTAAAGCGAGTAAACTTTTAAAGCGATGAGTTGCTTAAAATAAAGATGCATTAGCAGGTCCTTAACCATTAATTTGTTCCCTGGTCACCAGGCTTGAAAAGGAGTCCTTTGACAGAGCAGTAAAGAATAAAGTGAGTATACGTATGGCTCAGTACATGTGTGTGGTTCAAGGTGTACATGATACTATCTTTGAGTAACCGATACTCGTTTCTGATGTCTGCTAGTGTTCACTGTTCACTGTTAGTGGTGCTTTCATTTGAATAGTCTGGGATCATGGATCATGGATGTCTGTTTTATACCGGTTTAATGAGTGAAGAAAGAATTGATTACTAGGAGTCTATGATCATGGATTCTTATTCTATTGGCGTACTGGCCTACTTCAAGTCTTCAAGCACAAGTACAAGTTGTAAGTTCTCAACGGTTGATGAATTAATATCTGTATCGCTTGAATTCCCAGATCCATTATATCTCATCAACTTCCAGATCAAGCCCTTGTTATCACCTGGAACGGATATACCCTTGATCATACTAGCAATCCATGCGATATTATCTTGGAAGTTGGTTGTATATATTATTAGCTCTCGTGCTTTAGGTTTAAACTTTGGAACGGTTAAAGCTATTTTACAACCAGTTCATGATCCATGGTAATCAATAGCATGCAAGTGAATATGCAATAGGAACTTTAACCAGGACTAAAGATATACCTTTAATTAAGCTGGTGCTGCTGCTCTGCTTATACTAGATTGGCAGTGGTAACTGGATAGGTAACTTGTACAATCAACTTCTGGCCATGGTGCCATAGTTTAGGCTTGTAGAAGCAGAAAGGGCTAAATTCTATTATGCTCTTTATTCTCTTAGATTCAGATATATCCAGATCTGGTCCATTAAACATCCAAAACGTCACAGCGTAACTACCTAATCAAATAATACCTTCAAGACACCTTTCAACTTACGAACCAACAGATGTGTTTGATGATTTGCTATTATTACCTGGTATCTCCATTCGCTAAGTGAGCCTAGCCAGTGGTAAGCGTATTACGTCGTACTTGTTACTTCTCTTGGTCCCACTAAAATGAACTCCTCGTTAAAATGTAGACAGACGCACTAGGGGGTACGCTGGGTAAAACATGGGCCCGTTCCGTGTAAAGACGAGAATGGCTCCAGCTGTTTCTCACTAAAAGATTAGAAATTGTAGGAACTAGGCGGTTGGCGGATACTGGCGGGCACTGGCTTAGTTTGGCGCGCGGCCTACGACGAAAAATTAAGAGACAAAAAAAGTTAATGGTTTGTTCAGTGGCAACCAAAACGAGTTCGTAAATATAATTCATGTGTCAAATTGCAATGATGTTGATTGAAATTATCTTGTCTAGATGGAGGTTGATGCTTGGTTAGTGGTTTAGTATGGATGGTTGGTTATTAGAAGAGTCATTATTGTTGGTTTTGATCAATTGATGCTAGTATTTACAAAAAGGTTAGTTTTGTTACAGGAAATCTCAAGATCTTTCTTTGGAGATCTAACGTTCAAATTCAGATTAGAACTTTACAGGGATGGTAATTAATATTACCTAGAATCACAAGAGTTTTCAAAATGAGTTTATGAATTTACAGAGAATTGGAGAACAGTTACATTATATTTTACGAGAAATGTTGGTTAATAAGCGTTAAAACTTAGTATTTACATCTAGATGCACATAGATACTGGTCATCTGAACTTTATTGTCTGATATTCCAATAAGATATTAGAATCAACTTTCAAAGACACATGAACTATGAGACATAATGCACCTACTCTAAAATATGAGAAGTTCTTGATGCGTCTGTTGAAGTTTATTATACACCACTATTGAAGGATTTCACACATGATGGAGAGTCTTATGATTTATTATTTTTTAACAATTTAGGCTAATTTTTGACTACCAAGATAATAGGTTCATATTGCATTATGTACTTTGAAAACCTTTGAATAATAGTGATTATTCATATGGAGTTTTATCAATTTGATGGTTTTGATTACGATCGTAACGGTTATTGAGATTTACAAGGAGTTTGATCTTACGATTTTCAGTTTTTTTACTTTGATTCGGTAAGATATAGATTTGACAAGATGAAGATCTTTATAGAAATAGGTGAATTAAGTTGCATAAACCATTTGGAGAAGCTATTCAAATATGCAAATAATATTGAAGTTTCTTTTACGATAGAAGTTAAAAAGTCTTTATACATACATAACATTTGATCTGACTCCAACTATGAATTCAGATATTTTTAGCATGATAATGTACAATTGAACTTCCATAATTATCAGGCCTACATATGAATAAGCTTACTTTAAGAATCATGGTTTATAATACAAGGGTCATTAAAATATTTTGTTAATTTGTCAGGTCTTCAACATGAATTTACGCTTCATACATATCTCTAATTAGTCAAGATCAATAATGAAAAATCTTCAGTATAATAATATCAATTCATATATATATAGATATAAATTTCTACATTATTTGAAAAATTGGATTAATATAAGTTCATTATTCAACTACTCCAGTCAATAAATTGAGATAAAATATTTCAAAAAGATGAGATTATCATCAACCTCATCATTCATCTCATTTTTACTTTGGGGGTTGTTATACTTCCAAGGTGCTCTTGCTCAAACAGCATCAACAGCTTCAGGTATTGCTACGGTTTCAACAAATTTAGGTCGTTCTGTAACTTTATCATCAGCATGTGCTTATAATTCAGAAACTGGGTCCATTAACAATAAAGGTTATAAAGCTACTTATGATATTACTGGTAAAACTACTGGTACATTACTTCGTTCTCGTGTTTTAACAGTTACTTGGTATTTCCAATTTGATTCTCCAATTAATGCAGATACTTTTGAAGTTGGTGCTTTTGGTCTTGAAATTTCAAATATTAAAGGTTCAGTTAATACAAAACAAGGTTCTTTTGTTGTTTCTTATGATGTTACAATTCCTTATTTAACTTTCATTGCTTCAATTCCTTCTTATTGTTTACTTGATTATGTTGCATTCCAATTCAAAGTTCCAGCTCAAAGTTCTTCAAGTCTTGACACTTATTATGCATTTTATGTTGGTACTGCTGGTTCAGTTGTTGGTCAAGTCTTAGCTCAAACAGTGTGTGGTATTACAACATTGGGTAACTGTCCTGTTTATTCCAATTCATTAACATTTGATTGTAGTGGACTTGCATCATTCTTGGATTGTTCACAAAAAATAACAGTTACAAATACTTATAGTTCAGCTCCTTCAACTTCATCAACAATTAGTTCAACAAGAATTAGTTCATCAACAATTAGTTCAACCTCTTCAACTATATCATCAACAATTAGCTCAACTTCTTCAACTATTCCATCAGTGATTCCTTCAAGTTCATCTGTCATTTCATCAATATCATCAGTTGCAAGCTCATCAGATATTGTATCTTCAGTTGTTTCATCAATTGTTTCAAGTGAATCATCAGAAGCTTCTTCTGAATCATCAGCTCAATCATCAGCAGCTTCAAGTGAATCCTCAGCTGTCTCTTCAGAGTCCTCAGAAGCTTCAAGTGAATCATCAGCTGTTTCCTCAGAATCCTCAGAAGTATCAAGTGAATCATCAGCTGTTACCTCAGATTCATCAGCAGCATCTTCAGAATCCTCAGAAGCTTCAAGTGAATCATCAGCAGCATCTTCAGAATCCTCAGCTGTTTCCTCAGAATCATCAGTAGCATCTTCAGAATCATCAGAAGCTTCAAGTGAATCATCAGCAGCAGCCTCAAGTGAATCATCATCAGGATCTTCAGAATCATCAGTTGTTTCTTCAGAATCATCAGCTGTCTCCTCAGAATCCTCAGCAGCTTCAAGTGAATCATCAGCTGTCTCTTCAGAATCCTCAGCAGCTTCAAGTGAATCATCAGCTGTCTCTTCAGAATCCTCAGCAGCTTCAAGTGAATCATCAGCTGTCTCTTCAGAATCCTCAGCAGCTTCAAGTGAATTCTCAGCAGCATCTTCTGAATCATCAGCTCAATCTTCAGCAGCATCCTCAGAATCATCAGCTGTTTCTTCAGAATCATCAGCAGTATCTTCAGAATCCTCAGTTGTTTCTTCAGAATCATCAGCAGCTTCAAGTGAATCATCAGCTGTTTCCTCAGAATCATCAGCAGCATCCTCAGAATCATCAGCTGTTTCTTCAGAATCACCAGCAGTATCTTCAGAATCCTCAGTTGTTTCTTCAGAATCATCAGCAGCTTCAAGTGAATCATCATCAGCATCTTCAGAAACCTCAGCTGTTTCTTCAGAAACCTCAGCTGTTTCCTCAGAAACCTCAGCTCAATCATCAGCAGCTTCAAGCTCAAACTCTGATGGTTCCTCATCAAGTGCATCCTCATCTGCTGCATCCTCATCAGCTTCATCATCAAGTGCACCAACACCATTCATTGAAGGTCGTTTAGAAAATGGTCAACCTCATTGGTGGGTCTATGTTCCAGCTGCATTTGGTCCTTGGTTATCAGTTGAAATCGTTGCTACCACAGACGGATCTCATTACGTTTACCAATCTGTTGATACTTCAATTGCAGGCTCAGAAGTCGCATCTAACAAGCAAGTTGGTCCAAATTCTGTTGATGTTACTGTTAATGAATACACTGAAGGTGAATTATTATTTGAATTTTATGCTCAAGCTACTTCTAATAGTCCATACACTAATGAACCAGAGGTAATTATTACTACATCAGACTCTAGAAGAAGATTAATTAGAAGAGCTCCACAATCATTCAAATTGAAGAATACCATTGATGAAGACGCTTCTTCAATTTCTTCAGTTTTATCTTCATCATCAGCTGCTTCTTCAGATGTTTCAAGTGCTTCATCAGCCGTCTCTAGTGCTGCTTCATCAGCTGCTTCATCAGATGCTTCAAGTGATGCTTCATCTTCAGCTGCTTCAAGTGATGCTTCATCTTCAGCTGCGTCAAGTGATGCTTCATCTTCAGCTGTTTCCTCAGATGCTTCATCAGCTGCTTCATCAGCTGCTTCATCAGCTGCTTCATCAGCTGCTTCATCAGCTGCTTCATCTTCAGCTGCTTCAAGTGGTGCTTCATCTTCAGCTGCCTCATCTGATACTTCATCCTCAGCTGCTTCATCAGATGCTTCATCCTCAGCTGCTTCTTCAGCTGCTTCAAGTGGTGCTTCATCTTCAGCTGCGTCATCAGATGCCTCATCGTCAGCTGCTTCTAGTGGCGCTTCATCATCATCAGCTGCTTCCTCAGCTACTTTATCAGATGCTTCAAGTGGTGCTTCATCATCATCAGCTGCTTCCTCAAATGTTTCCTCAGATGCTTCATCAGCTGTTTCAAGTGGCGCTGCATCTTCAGCTGTCTCCTCAGAATCACCAACTTCCCAATCCTCAGCTGCCTCAAGTGCTGCTTCAAGCTCAAACTCTGGTGATTCTTCATCAAGTGCATCATCATCAGCCTCTTCTGCTTCAGGATCATCATCAAGTGCTCCAACACCATTTATTGAAGGTCGCTTAGAAAATGGTCAACCTCATTGGTGGGTTTATGTTCCAGCTGCATTTGGTCCTTGGTTATCTGTTGAAGTTGTCGCCTCCACTGACGGATCTCACTACGTCTATCAATCTGTTGATACTTCA